GCAGATTTGGGTCTGCAAAAGACGAAAACCAGTATTTCCGATCTCTTCTTTTGGAGTTTCTCATTTTAGTTTTGCATTGTGGAAGCCAGTCTTGTCAAGCCTGTTGTTTAAGCCAGAGTTGAGGCAGATTTAATTGCTTCACGTGATTCTTTCTTGTATCTGTTTTACCTCAGGTATTTTCAAGGTAGCTACTTCTGTGGTATAAAGCACTGAATAAATTCTCACAGTGATTCATTTACCAGAAGAGTTCCATATAAAGCTCTTTTACAACAACGAGAAGAAACAAGTTCATGGAGATTTAAAAAAAAAAAAAATTAGTATTCATATGCACAAAAATATTACAAGTTGTAACAGGTTGCAGCAGTTCCTCTTTGAGGGGAATTTTAGTGAGTGAGCATGAATTGTTTAAACAGTGATTTACTATCATATTTTTGGATGGCCCATTTATGTAGCTTACGGTGGACAGTTCTGGAAGTTACTACAGGCAAAGCAAATGTTTAAATGTTGATAAATTGGAAAAGAAGCTATTTACCCAAAAGTGCATTAAATTAAATGCCATTTAACTTACATTCTTACACTTTATTGTTTGATATGTTAAAGTATGGATGGACTCTCTATGCATTAGGAAAAAATGGTCATACTTTGTAAAGCCATGGACAGTGGGAGACTCCATCAGCAATGCACTGAGAAATGTATAAGAAAGGTGGACTTTGCAGATATACCTTCTCAGGCCCTTTCCACGGGGCCAAAATAGCATCTTCCTTTCTGAAAGATGTCGAATAACCAGGCAGAAAAAGATGAATGCAGGTGACCAACAGAGGGTGGAGGAAGGGTAAACTGTACTTTGACTTCCTTCTGTTGGAGGAACTGTTTATAGGAAGATGAGATGCAGGCTCTTGGATGAGAGTTGTCAAATAGTATCACAGTTGGCAGTGCTTCAGAGCTTCCCTTTTCCCTTTAGCTTCAAGCTGTAGAAAGTTTGAGTTTAACCTTATTCTTAGAAGATTGAAATATTCACTTTGTGTATCTTTCCCTTGGGATAAGAGCAGAGTACAGAAGAGTTCTGCTCTTTGCTTCACATCCTTCCAGGATATCCACTCTGCTGTTTTGGGGGGACTTTGGGGTAAAGTCTGACCATGCCACTTTCACTTGGTTCTAGGGAAGCCATTGGGAAAGACAACCTACTCCTGTTTCCTTTCTTCTCCCAGTGAGATAAAAAAATTTCTAATGAAATGTTTCTTTCATAGGGTAATATAGAAAGAAATTTATTTTTCCCTGGCTCTGACCCTCTTTTTGATTACTATACAGACTTCATTCAGGGTTTAACTATAAAATACGAAGTTACTGAAAATCTTTCTCCGGGATAGTGTGCCAATTAGTTTGTGGTGTCAGAGTTGGTATTTGAGTACGTCTGATATGGATGATGCGCTGCACAGCCTAGGGTCGGACAGGAACATGAATGAACAGGTACACAGCCCAGTTCTAGTTTGTGTCTGTACGAAGTATCTTCTCAGTGATGTGAATATTAAAGATGTTCCCAGGAAAGGGAAGGAACATGCAAGTCATGCTTAAATAGCATCATGGTGAGAAGCGGGTACCAATTCAGCAATAAGCTGTACCCTGCTTGGGATTACTTCCAGTTAGTTGCAGTAGAGGGAATGGTATGAAACCTCCGTGAAGCTGTAAGGAAGAAATCTGGTGATGAAACCTGATGTCTCAGTGCACAGAGCCTGGAGAAGCAAGGGCTTGTTTTGCCTCTGCTGAATCTGGGGAGCGAGATGCTGAGGCAGGGCCCAAGTGCCTGGACGTACCCGGGGCTGGGGCTGTGGATCAGGCTGCTGGGAGAACGGGGCTGGTGGGCGGCTCGTGCCTGCTTTGCTGGACGAGGTCTGTGACAAGCCAAAGCCAAGTCTGACCGAGAGGCCTGTTAGAGCTGGGAGTTGCTTCTGACCTTGCTCTCTCCTTTCCTCCCCCATGTGCTATCACCTCCGACTCTCCGGGCATTCACAGGAAAACAATGTGAAACAATGCCCTTCTGTGCTCAGGCTGATAAAATAGCCATTTCTTTCCCAACTGCTGTAGAAGGGACCCTCCCTGCTCTTCCTGGGTGGTGGAGAGATGCAGATTTATCTGGGAAATTAATCTGGGAACAGAGACGGGGTTCAGCCTTCTTGTGCTACCACCGCCGGCAAAGAGGCACCACTGCGTTTTGTTCTGCCTGACCCTCTCTCCTAGTGCCCCGCATCCCTCCCGGCCCTGTCCACGGGGGCCACGGCCTGCCCCATCCATGGGACCCCGGCCTGCCCGGCGCAGGAAGGGATGGTGGGGCAGGCTGTTCCCCCCACCTCCCGTCCCCACAGCAGGGAGCACAGCGAGAGGTAGAGAATATAACGTTGAGAACCGGCACGACAGTGCCGGCATCCCTGATAGACTCCAGCCTGGCAGAGGCTGAAGAAAGCATTTGTTTTCTCCCTCTGGAGCCGAGGTTGCTCCAGCCCTTCACAGGGAAGCTGGTGGGGAAGGGGGTGGCTGCGGAGCCTGTCCCTGCTCCTCTGGGGCTCTGCGGGGGATAGCAGGATTGGGCCATCGGCCCTCCAGCCACGTCAGCCCAGGCACGGCCCTGCCGCTGGGCCGCCGTGTCCCTCCCTGCCCATGCTGGAGCATGCTGCCTCCCACCACCTTCAGTCAGACCGCCAGGTCTCCGAAAATCAGGTCGTTTTATTTAATGCCTAAAAGGCGCCTGCTTTCAGACACCTGTTTTTGAAATGTTTAGTGCTGATGGCCCTAATGAGTCTGGGTATTACAGCGAAACAATTACAGGAGAAATCCTGCCTTGTTTTTAACGGAGTAACTCCAGAGCACATGTAGATTCTTCACATTCTTAATGCTTTTACCATATGAAAAATAATGTGCTCTGTGCAATTGATTCCAGTATCTCATTCGTTTTTCATCATCTCCTATCTCTGGAACATCCTTCTCCCTCTTAACAACATATTTTCCTAGATTTCATGGCAAAGGACAAGATCAGCTTTGTGTTGCCATAATCTCTTTTGAAGCAGTAAATTGTTTCCAGATTATCATATGTGGGATGGAAGAAACATCATATTTATGAATTGGTAAAACAGATAGACTTCCAATTGAGTTTAGTTCCAGGAAGGGTTTGTGATGATTATCTGGGAAAAAAAAATGTTTTCATTATTAAGTGTCAAAAATGCTGCATTAAAGTTTGTTAGAATATATTTATCCCAGGCTTTTAGTACTTGTTTTTGTTCCAAAGGTTACTGTAGCCTGAACCAGTTTCTTATTTTAAAACTTATAATAGTGGAAATTCTGTAACATATTTCTTGGTTTGAAATGGATTAGGTCAGATTCTCTAGTCTTCTCATCCGTTCTCACCGTTCAAACTATCTTTCAACATGAAGACAGAAAAGTAAGACGCGCACGCTGTATTAAATCGCAGTAAGAACACGTCTGCCAGCTGGGGACTGACTGAGCATTCTCTTCTTCCCTCCTTGTGTCTGTTAGCATCTCGTTACTTGTTTTGCTGCCCTGTTTTCTTAATGTCTGGGTGTCTCAGAGTCTCTCCTGGCTGTGGTATCTGCATGCTATCCCAGCAAACCTCTATTTCATTCCCTGAGTGTGAATGAAATAATTAGCCTGGATAATCTGGCTGGCTACAAGCTGGGCTCGTTACTCGCTTTGTATCATGTCAGCTTGCTTTTGCCTGTTATTGGTACCTACATTTGGGTTGATATGGCCCTTATTGATTGGCATTATTGCTTTGGCCACCAAACGGCAACTGGAGCTGGGGGTGCCGGAGCTTGGCTGCTCCCACGTGCCCAGGACGCCGCAGCGGTGATGGATGGCCCCTGCAGCAGGCTGAGTCTGGGGCTGCGTGGGTCTGTCCCATCTTCTTTCATCAGTAATCGCTGCTGGTCTTAGTCACTTGCTTTTTGAGAAGTTTTGTTCCCGGTCATCTTCCAAATCACAGCCCGCTGTTAGCATTTGCTTTTGTGTGTCTCCCCAGTTACTTAACTGCTGGTATATAGGGACGCATTTTCAGAAGGTCCTGTCTGAGGTCCCATACTGATGTGTATCTATATTGTGGTGTGTCATTGACATACTGGCATGTGAAAGTAGGCACCTGTGTGAGCAAAAGGCTGTTTTGGACCCCACCAAGGAAGTCACCTGGTACCTGAATAATATATGCATTATGTAAACAGCTAAACACAGAAATATTAGCCTTCCTATCCAAAAAAGTCATTGTTGTTGTTCAGTGGCCTTTGATACCCATGGAAAACATTGACCATACTATTACAGTTCTTCTTCATCTCTTTTCTTCTGCTTTTTAGGAATTTCTCAGGATATGCACATGAAAGCAAATCTGTTTTATGATAATGTTGCTGTACACTCTGCATTTGGTGTCCTGTGCCTGGTCTGTCACATTGCTGTCGTTTCCAGAGCAGACAGTTGCGATGTCAGGTGCAAAGGATTTGGGCTGGGAAGTAGTCAGCTTGGGCAGATTAAATGCTTCACAGACAAAATTGCTGGGTTTGGGGAAAGTAAAAATAGTAACAAGAAGTAGTGTAAAGTCTTTAATTCTGAAACCTTATATACAGGCAAAACTACTGGCCCACTGTAGTTAAAAGAGAAAATATATGTAATGCTGAAAAAAATTATTTTCACTGGTTCCAAGAGGCATTAACTGGTTGTTTTAGGTGCCTGTCTCGTGAGATCATTAGAATTTTATTATCTGGGTGGTTGTTTGTTTTGTTCTTTTTTAACCAAGCAGATGTCTTTTTTATTGCCTGTTACCATGCAAAAGCTGTCCAAACCAAGATGCAGTGAGCTGCTGCAACAAGGTATATGCAAACTGGTACCCATGGGCCTTTGCACAAACTCTGTAGTATCTTTCCAATCCTGTGGTAATCATTCAGCTAGAAAAACAAGTCTGAAACCAAATATATCTGGCTTTAACAAACGGTTCTCTTGTCTTACAGAGAGAGGATACAAGCCATGGAGAAACAGATTGCCAGTTTAACTGGTCTTGTTCAGTCTGCGCTTTTTAAAGGGCCAAATACAAGTAATAGCAAAGATGCTTCTAGGTAAAAAAAGAATTCATTAAATCTGTTTCTCTGTAATGATTTTAGTAATCAATCAACAAAAATAATACTTGAATGTAATAGTAAAAAAACCCTGAATGCTCAATCATTTTAAAATATCTTTATCATCCCCATGAGAATGCTAGGCAGAGAGGAAGAATATGCCAAATGATAGATGGAGATTAACTGCATTACGCTTCTTTGTGTGAAAAAGAATTAATGTAGCTACATCTCTGTGGTTTCTACTGCTAATACTCCATTCCTTGCTTAATTTGTATTAAAAGCTGATTTAAAAAAAAACAACTGACAAGCTACTGGTGATTTAAATCAAAAATATATATGCTAGACAAGGCCGTTTAATTTGCTGATTATAAACTTCACTACAGTTTTATTGTTAGTAAGTTAAAATTATGATTTTTTTTTTATTATTTAGTGAGAAGATGATGTTGAAAGTTGTGTCCAGCAAGAGCAGCATTGACACTGCAGGTAAGATAATTCACTATTAATTTACAAACTATTCAGGTATATGAATAGCTCTATCATTACTACCATCCCAGCTTATGGAAATGTCGAATTTACCTAAATTCCCATAGCTGTACTGTCAGAACTGAAGTTTAAGTTCAGGATATGGGAGTCGATCACATCTTTGTTAAGAGAGGAATTTCAGACAGGTTGAGGTGATCTTTGGCATGAATTTCACACCTGCGCTGAATGGTTTAAATGAGATATAGAGTCTTTGCATATGGTGAATTTTCCAGTGATTCATCCTGTCTATAGTATATATCTGTCATTAACCCCAGATGTATCCAGATTGCTGTAGAAAGCTAAATATTTCATTCTTACCCTGGTCACCTGAACTTTTCTCTAAGGTTCTTCTGTCAGTAGGATGCTGTGGATGTAATGACACTAAGAAATTTAGCAGTCAGCAAGATAGCACTTTCCCTAATTAAGCTGTATTGATCTGTTACTAATTATTAGCGTGCGCCTAAACTGTTCTGAGCAAGCATCAATTATGAAGCCAATAAGAGCTGGTCTTATTTTAGCTTCCCACTTGGAGAGCTGTTAAGTGTTTAAAAGATGGAGTTAAGACTGTTGTGAAAGAAGATCTCCATGTGATTGGAGCTCTTTGTGTATGGGCTGCCGCTGGAGATGTCTGCAGGGTGTGCGTGTGTTTATATGCCTCCTCTTCACCCTTTGTGATGCACTGAATGCAAATAAAGGCAGTTCCCTCCTTCCTGGTAATGCTGTTCCCACAGGGAGGTCTGTGCTCTGGCAGGTAGTAAACCACACACATTTATTAGCAAATCTGTTATGCTCTTAACTAGCCTTTCTGTTGGAGCTGTTAGTTCACGTTCAGGATTCCTGTTTATCTGGAATTGCAGTATGTCCTCCTAACCGACAGAAATCAAACCACACCTGGAAACTATCAAGCATATGCAAGAGCGAGCAAGCTAAAGTCCTGGTGCTGGAGCTTTGCTCCCAAGCCACTCTCTGGTCCCCTTCCAACTCTTCTCTTCCCCCTGGCCCCTGGATGGGGAGAGCGATACTTCAGGCTGTGAAGAAATAAGTTGTAATTTATCAGTTTCAGACAACTTACTGAAAAGTCCATCATTTTTCAAAACAGCTGCAAAATGCTCGTAGACTTTTCCTTATTTCAGTGTCATTACACACTGAGAATTTATGGTATTTCCCACTTGCACAGGCCTCATCTCATACAAAGCACCTATGAAACCATCAAAATCTGCACACACATTGCCTTGTTTCCTCTTTGTATTCTGTTGCTGTTCGGCCTTTATGCTTTCCCTGTGTTTGTACTAATTCAGATAAGTACTTTGCGGGGGGCACTGAGTTGGAGATCTTGATCTAAGTGGGCCCTGCTTTGAGTGGGACTTTGGACCAGATGACCTCCAGAGGTCCCTTTCAACCTAAATTAATCAGTGATTCGTGTGTGCCTGTGTGAATGTGCTCTCAATGAAATGAGAAATGAAATAATATTCATTGGGAAAACGGCCCTACACAGAGCGAAGGTGGGGATTCCTCAGTGTGGAAGTCATGCCCAGCCCACCAGAACAGCATGGTTCATCTGACCAGCAGCCGTTTCCTGCCACTGTTGTTCCCAAAGACTCCTCACTACCTTGTCGTATGACTGAATGCATGTCCTTGAAATGGCGAAATTATGTATAACAGCTGCGTGTCCAAGCATGGGGGTGGGGGGAAGGGGACCATGTAATTTACTGTCAAAAGACCAGATAAGCATCTGTCACGTACTGACAGAGACATTGACTTTGTCACACAGCCATGCCCGTATCCAGCATGTAAGTAAGGATACCAGCATTCAGGTTGTGTAATAGATGCTTTTCTGATCACTTGAGAGACAGGGTTAGGACAGTGGGACCAGCCATGCAGCCAGCCATCTGCAGGGATCCCTATCAGTGCTATAAAGTACAGTTGTAACTCCAGCATCTGCATCCCTAAATCCTGTCCTCCCAGCATGACTCAGCCACAAAATTAAACTGTAGCAGGTAAGGGAAGCAAGGTGTGATGCTGACCGCAATATACTACAGTATTGTAACCCACATCAGCTATTACTAAAGACTGCTGTATAATAGAGTAGTCCTGTATAATAGAATATTTTGCTTTTGCACCTGCTTTTGAAATTGCATGTGACAGGGTCTAATAAGTCAATGCAGTCCCTGCTTACTTGAAAATTAGGCAATCTGCCAGAATATGCTACAGAATGTTTCTCCTTTTTGTAATTATGCTTGGGTTTAAATGTGCCAGCAGCATCTAGAAACACTTTTGCTGACCGCTGTTTTGTTCTTCAATTCACCCCAATCCTTATTAAGTATAGCCATTTAGACACTCGACTCTCTTAGGATACAATTCCACTTGACAACTGTGCACTGAGATACCAGTTGTAGCAATTTCAAAGTCTATTTGAAAGAAGTAGTAGTATAAAATGTTGATTGAGCAGTCCTTTCTAGAGCACTGGTAAGCAGAAACGTGAATTGCTTCCCATCCTGAACAATAAAACATCTGTGCAGGGTAAAACTGGCTCATCAATGTTGAACAAACATTGTATTTTATAGTATGTGTTCCTATGATAGGAGACTTTCATGCAAAAAAAATAGAGAACTAGTTCACTTGGGAAGAGAAAGAAACCAAATTTTCTAAATCGTAGGTAACTCTATATAGCTAGATTGTGAATATTCTGTTTGGTATTTCATATAAACGAAATTGTTGTATTTAACATGTTTTTGCTTTGCCAGTCTGTAGCAGATTCTTTAGCCTCAAATATTAAAGAGCCTAAATAAAAATGCTTTTTCACTGGGGAAAATGAGTCTGTAATGATCATGCTTGTCTGCATTTCTTACGTTTTATTGCTTTAGGCTCAGTTCTTTCATGGGGGGTGGGTTCAAAGAGCAGTAACCTTCCAGAGACTGGCTATGTCTCTCTACTAATGTTAGGAGAAATCCCATGACTGAATCCTTATAACCTTCTTCAGTTCATCAAAAGTGAATGGCATCAAGGGACTCTTCACTTAGGAACAGCATGTGACTCTCAAAACAAACCATACTAGGAGGAGTCTCCTTGGGATTACTAACAAATATGCTGAGAAATGCTCACCTACTCTCTTTTCTGTCATATTTTTGTTCATCAGTTGGTGAGATTGATAGATTAAATCCTGGATTCATTGATTAAATTGAGATCAGTTGTATCATGGATTACCAAAAAAAGTTCCAAATAGTTCTTTGCTAGTTGCGGCCTTGTTGGAAGAGGAAGAAGGACATTTCAGTATTTCGTGAAAAGAGATCAAGGAGTATGTCTTACTGCACTAACACCACCAGTGCAAACCAAGAGAGGGAGATGGCAGCAGGGAGAAGTATTACACATGTAGGGCTCGGATTTGATTCCTCACTCTTTGTGAACTGTCTTGTCATCTGTGCATATCTGTGTGCCTTTTTCATATGCATGACTCTTGCTGTGATGATCTGTGAATTAAAAACATTGTCCGTATCTGCTTGCTTATCTCAGATTCAAAGATAGATCATGCCAGTCTTTGAATTCTGTCAGCGTTTGCAGGTAAAACATGATCCTGAATTCATTCTGGATCAATGAGGTGAAGTTGCAGGCTAATATATATAGAATATTTTCTTCTTTTAAGGGTGCTTTAGTGACTGGCCATAACAGCTTGTTAATGATGGAATTGCAACCTTAACATTGCATTTGCCTATTTGTTTAGTGGATTCTAACTGGATGGAAAGAGAACTAAGTAACTGTCATGTATCTCCCCAAATGATGCTTGAAAATGTTGTGGCTCTTTAATAAAGAGATGAGTAATTTGTGAAGAAACATTGCTGGGTGTCATCTGATGTCCTTCTTTTCTAGCCTGCTTCAAAACAAAATCTTAGCATTTTAGAAAGAAAAATAAAATCTGGAAAACTGAAGGAGAGCAGTGTCTTTGCAACCAATAGCAAAGATCAAGTGTGGGGGAGTGGAAGTTGCGTTTCTTACCTTCCTGAGCCTGGGCAAACAGCAAACCTTTTCCCTTTCTGCACATCAGTTCTCTTTGTACTTTAAAAAAGGCAGCTTAGTTCATTGGCCTTTGTGAAAAAAGTAAACATTTGTTTTTTGTCCAGAGTATTAGGGAATTATGGAGGGGTTTTGCATTCAGGTCCCCTTACCTAGCTCCAGCAAGGGTTTATTTAAAAACCTGAGAGCCAGTGCTGTTTCTTCCTCTTCAATCCATCTGGCCGCGCATCTAATCACAAAGCTACAGCCTGGGACTATTTCCAAAAGTGAGCTATACTCCCTAGATGAAGCAGCCCCTCATTCAGCTGCCCTTTTATTCCTTTTTGATGAAAATATGTATCTCTGAGAAATCAGCTGCTGATCCTTACTGCGCTCCCATGCTCACTCGGTGTCTGTGGTTGTGTTTCACGCCCTCGGGAGTCCCATGTCCTGCTTCACAGGCTCTGAGAACACGCTGCAGCAGGGACACTGTGGCAGCTGAGAGTACCTAATGGTGAGAAGAGGTGGCAGAGGCAGCAGAGGAGGAGGAGAGCTGCTTTGTAGGGAGTTGGAGACATTTATTGTTTACAGAAGCGGATCACAGCCCATCTACATTAAAAGGAAAGCAGGCACCCCTTCCTGAGAAAATATGTGAATTGACTGGGGTCCAGCATGGGAGGAGAGACTGGCGGGGACTGATTCATGCCTTGGCTGCATCATTACAGGGTCGGGGGCTGAGGTTTTGGAACTTTTGCTTGAGGCAAAGAATAGCAGAAAGGTAGATGTGCTTTCAAAAATAGTCCAGATTTGTGGCTAGGGATCAGAACTCTTGGAGGCTTATCCACATTTTTCAGACTCTCTGGTGGTTTCTGTCTGTACGGTTTATGAACTAAATACCCTTTTCTTAAAAAAAATGCAGAAAATAGTGCATGTGGGAGGGAAATAGATGCTTGACTGTAGGAAAAACTGCAGTGTACATGTAGACAGATAAGTATTAGCCTGTATTAGACTGAAGCATGGAGTGGGCACAGAATGGCAGTGGACAAGGACCGTTTATTTCTTGAGTGTTGCTTTCTGTTAAGCAGCTCTTTGAAAGTCAAGAGAGCATTGAATCATACTGGAGTATAGCAAAAATGTGCAGCAGCTTGCTCAGCAGTGAAATGAAAAGTGCCGTTGTTGAAGCACCAAGCAGATCTAACTGGAGCACATTTGGGTAAGGTATAGCATTACAACGGCCAGCACTGGGCTAGAACAGTTTTTTTTTTTGAGCATGTCTCCGGAAGCCTATGGCATGGCACACTGTATATAGCACGGGTGCAGCCAGAGGAGCCTGTGCTTATTACTGACAGGAATTGCAAATGTAGGTAAAGCAAGAAACATGATTCTTCAGAAACCTTTTAGCCTAAAAATAGTCTGGCGTAATTTCCATCCTTCAAAAATGCTTCCCGCAGATGAATTTTGCAAAGGCTACGTTTGAGGTATCCACACCTGTTGGTAAAGGAATGTGGTGTTATGCTGATCTGTGCTCACTCAGGCTCATTTGGAGACATTACTGGTTGAAAAGACTACTACAGATGAGAGGGCGGGGATAAAACTTGCCACTCTTGGGTTCATACTCATTCCAGCCAGAAAAATGTGTCATGCCCTTTGGTGCCCTGAAAATTTGTCTTCAACAGGCAAAGAAAAGCTCGCAACACTAGTTTCTGTTTGATTTCATTGAACTGGATAGAATGTGTGCTTGTGGGAACAAATGATGACCGAAATCCCTGTGCAGATCCATTAATGGGTTATTTTCTGTTTCCTCCCATTTTTTGTTTTATTCATAGAGAAGGAAGAAAATTAAGTGGGGAATGACATAATCATAGAATATAATCATAGAATCATTTAGGTTGGAAAAGACCTTTAAGATCATCGAGTGCAATCGTAAACCTAACACTGCCAAGTCTGCCACTAAACCATGTCCCTAAGCACCATGTCTACACGTCTTTTAAATACCTCCAGGGATGGTGACTCAATCACTTCCCCGGGCAGCCTGTTCCAATGCTGGATAACCCTTTCAGTGAAGAAATTTTTCCTAATATCCAATCTAAACCTCCCCTGGCGCAACTTGAGGCTGATTCCTCTTGTCCTATCAGTTGTTACTTGGGAAAAGAGACCAACACCCACCTCACTACAACCTCCTTTCAGGTTGTTGTAGAGAGCGATAAGGTCTCCCCTCAGCCTCCTTTTCTCCAGACTGAACAACCCCAGTTCCCTCAGCCGCTCCTCATAAGACTTGTTCTCTAGACCCTTCACCAGCTTCGTTGCTCTTCTTGGGACATGCTCCAGCACTTCAATGTCTTTCTTGTAGTGAGGGACTGATAATACAATAGTTCAGGGAGCGGCAGCCATCTGAGCCATCTGAGCCCGAGGGACAAGGTAGATCTGGCACTGTGATCAGAAGAGTACGCAGGGCTACATAGTGCTGGACTTAGAAAATGAAGTGTCCCCTACTGACAGTTTGTCATTTTGCCTGTTGGTGGTGGGAAGGAGGAGGGACGCATTAGAAAGAAAATTTGAAGAATGTGGATGGTAGAAGAAGCTGTAACATGACTATTAGCTGATGAACTGGAATTTGCTTATACCCTGTAAATAAAGCTTCTTCCCAGTTACTTGAGACTGAAAAGAACAAGCTTGACATTGATGCTGTGTAGAGGAAGAGCACTGTTTAACAAAGAAAGTCTTGTGAGGATACTGACAGTTACTCTCAGAGTGTGGCTCAGCTCACTTCCTTGTATTATGCTGTATTCCCTTGTAAACACAGTCCTGAATAAATGACAGACTAAATGGGAGTGGGTAGATGCAACATGGCTGGAGAGCAGTTCTCTGCCACACTGTTGTTTCATTTCTTTTTTCCTGGTTTTATACAGTAGCTGTTGGAGACACCTGATAGAAATAATGTAATTGTACTTTAAGCAGCAAAGCAAGATTCTCTATAGGAGCCTTTTCCCCACACTTGGCAGTTTGACTGAATCTCTCTCCAGTGATAATTCATCAACACATACGCAGTTGAGGAGTTCTGTGAATTTGCATTGACTTGACCTCAGATGGCTCCTGGGAGGACAATCCCGAAGCTACTTTCAACACCAATTTGATCTGCTGCTGTTTTGTGTAATCTGCATTATTATCCCATCTCCACTACATGTGGTAGGAAGCAGTCTTGTAATGCAGTGCTCTGATATGGTTGAGGTTCCAGCACAGATACACTCTGATATTGTACAGTCTTCCCTCACTTGCCAGTCCCCTGTTAATACTAAGCATTGGCAGTTGTAATTTCTTTTTCTTGTCCATCTCTGTGAAATACGTGTGGATTCAGTGGGCAGAGGAAGGATCATGTTTGCACCTTCTCTGCTGGTGAGCTCAACCTGTGCTGCTGCTTATTGCAGGCGCTGCTAACGTATCTGGGGGGAAGAACACATTGGCAACTGTGGAGTCAGCTGTCATCCATCACCCTGCTGGAGCCCCATCAATGCAAGTCAGCCTGCATGGTATGAAACGCAACGTGTCAGATCTGCGGCTGCAGCTGCATCAGATGAAGCAGCTACAGGTATGCTTATCTGGGTAATGCCAGGAAAGTGGGTTGTCAGCAAATGTCAGCCCTTTTCTTTCTTTCTCTCTTTCTCTCTCTCTTTTACCTTTTGTACATGAGTGATTCTCAGTAGCAGAGTTCTAGCAAAGGGAAGACCCAAGTATTACAGACACAAAAGCATATTCTGTTTTAGCATACGCCACTTGCATAGTCCTAGAGGTATGAGAATTAGCTCAGTTTAACTACTGCTGCTCAGATATTGAGAAAAAACTTCATTTCTAACTTTGTTTTGATGGCTCTAGACATTAAAGCAGTATTTATATTACAATAATATCAAGTCTGTGATTACAGTTTGGACCCTGCTATGCTATGTGCTGTATAAACATGTCGGAAGAATTCCTGCTCCATACTGTTTACAATTGAGACAGTTTTTAAGTTCCTGAATAAACAACTTTGATGTCAGGAAACCCAAATGTAGCTGAGGATCAGTAGATATGCATTAAGCCAGAGTTTGAGTCCTGTATTTACAGAATCCAGAAGAATAGCCAACTTGAGCAGCAAGGAAAAAAGATATTTCAAAAGTTGCTGCAAAGGTTTGTTGTGCCCTACTTACATTCACATTATAGCAGTAACTTCTTAACACACATCAACACCTCAAAACCTGCAAGAAACAGTAAGAACAATGAAGAGTTAACCAAAATGTTCTGTTGACGCATACCATAATGCTGCAAATCTAAATATATGCTCTTCATCTCAGACACTGTGAAAATAGGCTTATGCAGCTGTACAGGTCTTCAGCCCTTCACTTAATTGGAAACTGAAGAGCACTGTATTGTCTCAGAAGCTGCAAAAGGAGGTAAAGCAATTTCTTGTAAGACAAAGTGGACAGCAGGGGAAACTTCAATACTCTGCCAGTCCTCCTTGCCTGGAAAGTGACATCACATGTTTGGTATTGTAGGACTGCAGCTACTGCTATTACAACCAGGGTGGTTTTGAATATGGGAATGGTACTATGTCAATCTCCTTTGATTTGCTGATTAATTTTAGAACAGAATAATGATAATACAATTCAGAATTCAGAGCGCATTTTTCCTTCACTTCCTTAATTAAAGGAAACTGAATTATGAACCAGTCATAGGGCAAGGGAGCAGAAGGGTGAGGTAAACATCAGGGTAAAGAAAATGTGACCAAGACTGAACATGCTGTGACAAGGTCCTGTGCTCAGTTTGCTGGTAATGAAGAGACGGCAGAAGGTATTTGGAACAGTTGTGTCAGCCAGGTGACCTCTGCCTGTGGTACAGCACACACGTATTTACGTTTTCAGTTTAGGATGAGTATGTTCCTATAGCAAATATATCTTTCAAAAGCTGTTCCCAGCAGTGCTGCCTACGTGCTGGTCATCATGGTCCCCATCTAATTTTAAGACTCTGGCTTGGGATCTCTGCCCTGGCACATTATGTATAAGTGTGTATTCTTCCACATTTGTGCCACAAACCACTGCAGCCCCTCTGTCCTTCTGTAACCCCATGTGCCAAATGCAGCTCTTGGCAAACGCCTGCGGTCTGGCCACCAGCTGTGCTTAGCATATGGCCTCGTAAAGTGGGATGGGGTTGCAGTGCTGCGCTGGAGGCAGTGAGCGCATTGTTCTCACAGGGCCTGCTCACTGAGGAGGTGGCATTTCCCCAGCTGTACCTTGTCTCAACGGCCCTGCCTGGGGCGGTAACCTTGCTTTTGATCAGATATGGCATTATTGCACACAGGAGTGAAGAAACTTGTACCATCTGCACAAATCAATGCTGCCAAGGAAGTCTTGAGAAGGAAGAAAGGACATATCCCGAGTGTGCTCATTAACTCTGGCTGGCTTCCCTTATTTCAGAAATGATAGCAAATATGGTGCATTGTGCCAGTAGGAAGTGGGCAAATTTGTGACAGTCGGATGGAAGAACCTGTAGCTCAAGGGAAACTACATATAAATTACATTCTTGAGAGTGAGTTTTTGTCATGGCTTTCCTGAATGGGTGGAATTATTTTGAAAAAGAGCTCACAGTTTGTAGGGCAGCAAGTGAAACAGGTAGTGTTTTAAACTGAAGACTGTTGAAATATCACACTTACAATGAAAAAAATTTGTGCTATGTTTTTTGGAAAATAATTCTAAGTAAAAGGGAAAAGTATTTTTCTGGTTTTCCAGGTTGTTTGCATAATATGTTTGACAGTACTTCATATTTTTCGCTTTCACTGTTTCTCCTAGACTAGCAGTCAGTTTGTTCCTGTTTGCATGAATTTTTCATACAGTGACGGACTAAAAGAAACACTTCCAAAGAACTGAAAAACATGATTGCACCCGCACAAGAGTTGGCAGGATAAGTAAGAAAAAGGATCAGGACATAAAACTATATTTAATACTGTCTGTGGTTCAATTTTCAATTGATGATACCACTGTAAGTTCTTACTCATTTGCTTAATAGAATCAGAGAAACACGTAATGGAAAAGACCCGTTCATTCATGTAGCCTTTGTCAGTGCTGTGATTTTTTTTTAAAAAATCCTCTTTTTAAAACATACCCAGCAGCAATTGATCCAGATGTATTGATTCATACACCAGTTAAATGTATATGTTACCAGATGCAACCAAAAAGTTAAGACTGTTTCAGTCTGTGGCTGGATTTTAACCAGAGATTCTTCAAATAAAGACATTTGCATCATGGCTGTTGCTAGAGGTTAGATACATTTCTTGCTATTCCACTAGCATCTTCCTTAAGCGCTCTGATTTTCAGAGATGCTCGAGAAAGAGCAATTTCATGGTGCCATGGAGTTTTCCTCATTGCCAGAGATAGGCTATAACCCAGCCTGTGTCCTGGATGCATTTGTTGTTGGTAAGACTGGAGCCCATGATGAGTTCAGTGGAGTTGTTCATTCTGCATTCCCAGATCATGAGAACTCTTAGTGGCAGATTTGAGCCAAGCCTTAGAGTTCATGTATATGTATACCTGCTCGTGGTATATATCATTAGTTTATATGTACATTGGATTTTTTTTGTCTATTCCTTCCTTTCTTTAATTGAACACATTTTAAGGGAAAGCAGTTAGATATGATTAAGCTTCAGCGTTAGGAATGTGTATGCATGCATGCTTTTCCTTCACTCAATGTATTATTTGCAGGGAAATGAGTGCTGCAGAAAGGATAGAAAATGTGATAATAATACTGTCATAAATGATATATGATACTTAGTCTCACAAGCGTAACTTTGAATTAGAAATTCAAATATGTTTTGAGCTGCATTATAGAATTGGTGAGACTATGTTTAATCTGTGTGTGGTAACAAACTTCAGGAGTTAGATAATTAGATTCTACAGAGATCCTGAGCTGCAGGCAGTCAGTCCCTGTTTGTGGCTGTGCACTCTAGTGTGTGGGGAGGTGGGTGGCCCAGAAGCCTCTCCCAGCAGGGCCTGGGAGGCTCCCATTGGACAGGTCATGCTTGTCTCCTAATGAGAAGCAGGGCTGTGAACTAATAGTTGGTTTTCCAGTTACCTCAAATGTCTCATAGTTAATAATTGGTTCAAAGTGAACTAAACCGGTTATCGTATTATTCTTGAAGTGGGTGCCAGAGGTGATGCTGGGGTACTTGTGAGAGAGCAGTGATAGATAATGGCTGGAGCAGTAGCCGAAGAAGAGGGACAAGGTAGGTATCTGGAGAGATTGGTGAGGCTGGGAGTGAGATCCAAGGGTAATGAATGTAGGAGAGGATGCTAGAATTCTAAAAAAGCGTGTTAAATTTCTTTCTGATTGATTGCTGCTTGCAGTTATAAGTCAAGTTAACTCTAATTAGCAAGAAATTGCCATTTGGTGGTGACAGGAAAGCCTGCATTGCTTTTCCTTACCTTTGGGCACTTGACTTTGGAACTTGAAAACTTTTCAAGTGTGAATGTCTAAGATTGTTTATTTGGCTTGTTTTCAAACAAACTTAAAGTACAAAAAGTTCTGCTCTGTGGAACCAGAATAACCCTGGCAGATCCCTAAAACTCCTTCTACTTGAGGTGGTGGAGTAACTGGCAGAGGTGGTCTGAGTGACAAATGGGGTGTGCACTTAGCCAGGGAGTCTCAGATCTGATACCTGCTGGCAGAAGAAAGGTAAGAATCAAGTTCATTTCCAGAACTGAGGTAAATGTGCTGTAGCGGCCAGGGACTGCCTCCTCTTCCTTACCCACAGCTCTTCCCCTCTGCTCCTGCTCACCCTGCCTCATGTTGTCCTTTGGCTGGTGACTCTGCCCTGCTTAAACCCACAATTACTCCTCTCTGCTGGTTCCTTCTCTTCTCTCTCTGCACCCATCTGTACCTCTCCCTTCTCATCTTCTGTCCCTGTTCCCCAAGCACGAACAAACTCAGGTTTTCCAGAACTAGCCAAGTGTTGCATGAATTTTCATAGAAATGGCAAAAACATCTCTTTGATACCAAGATGAGTCATTTCCCAGACTTCAAGAGCTCACTCTAAACATTGAGGTTTGGGAGTCCTCAACACACAAGCTTTTTGAAATATTACTGAGTTATATTTTTATTCCCTAATCTTGTTATCAGAAATGGATGAACTTTTATGACTGAAACTTTCTAATACTGTTCAAGCACTGCATAAATGGAAGTGACAAGCACCTTAGCTGTAGGTGTCACTACAATAAATATAGATCCCCTATATACTCCCATAATAGGAAGAAAAGTGTACCTGCCATTGCACAACCTCACACACGTACTCAATTTTGGTATTACCGGGAGTTGCTGTTACCAGCTGAGGAACATAGAGGACTTAAATTCTGGACACCTGAAACTTAAGTCCGACTCTGTTACTGATCTTCTCACTGACCTTGGATCCATTGTTTCACATTTCCCAAGTCACTTCCCTGTGTCAAATTTCCCCACTTTTTAAAGAGCTGTGAATAAACTGTATGACTGAAGTGTTACATGCTCATTCACTCATTTATTCATTCATTTATGTTTTCCTTCTTGAAAATATGACACAATGTAAGAGATGTGTGTCTCAGATAACTGTGCTGGCCTCGCTGTAAGAGGTTTTAATTTATCAAACCCAAACATAAATCCCGTAGTGGGAAAAAATACACATATGCACTGTCTTCAGAAGAATCCAGTCTGGTATAAAGCAGCTGACAATGTTTATAAATCTGTGCTGTTTCAAATGTTTTCCAGGTTCATTTTTTTCCCTAACTGCTAACACTTATCTTCAGATGAGTTTTGAGCTAACAACTCCTGCTTGTCATAGCTCAGACCTCCCTGTACACTTTCAGTGAAGTGTTACCCTCCCTCTCATCACAGTTGTGTCGCTGGAGAAGGCAGAGTCAGGCACAAGGACTGAAGAGTTGGGAGGGGAGAGTTGAGTTTGTTCCTCTAATTCCCGTACTGCTTGGAAAGAATGACCTGGGCAAAGGTGCTTTTTTCTCTGATTCCAATGAATTCTCTTAAATCAACTTAAAAAGAAGTCTTGTTGCATTGTACTGTCTTGTAGGTAACCCATTTTTGTGATTCTTCCTATTAGGCAGTGGTTTTACTTTGTATGTTAAATGTGGCTTGGCTGTTAAGCCTGAATGTTTAGAGGACAGTTGATGGTTCGATTGCTAGTTTTAAAACTGGAATTTCGTCTCCCAATTGACACAGGTGTTTTTTAAAATCTTACAGTATGAGAAGGCTGCTGGGCTAAGAGAGTTGTGTTCATGTTGCCTATATCCTAAAGCTGTGACTAGATGGAGCCCTGCTTATCACTTTAATCTTGTGATTTGCGTAAGAGACTTTAAACAGGTTTGGTTTGTGTGAGTGTGGGGCATAGCTGCTCTAGGACTACCCACAGAAGAGTACAGTCTAGTTTGCTTTCTTAGCTGTGTTTTGCTCTGCAAACTTAGTATCAGTAAGAAAATTAATACTTTAGATACTTAACATAAGGCTGAGACAAGAAGGTGTGACTTTTACAGTTCTCAGAAAATTACCGTATTATAAAGGGCTTTTTTTTGGTGGGTAAGGGAGGTTTTATGTACTGCAGATGAGCTGTATGTCTGTACCAAATTACACCGGATGGCACAATCCTTCCTCTGCCACTTGAGAGACTGAAAAATTCCATTCTGAGAACAGCAGTGCAAGTTCCAGCCTTGTCATTAATGTGTGGGATTATCCAGCAGGCATGTATGCGCAGTGCGATGCATAAGCTTACGAGATACGTGCAAAGTGGAAGTCAAGCTTCCGGCATTCTTGTGAGGCGTGATTAATTCTTGGTTCATGCTGGACTGAGCAGAATAAAGAGGCCACAATCCTTGCAGAAGTTATGCACTGGAGGTGGTGTACTGATCCCAACATCTTTTGTTCGTCAGCTCACAACTGGAAGTTAGATGTACACATTAGAAGTTAATCAGATTTAGGCTTTTCTCACTCCCAATTCTTCCTCACGGAATGTTTATAGGTAAAGTTAAAGAGGGAAAGAAGAAGGTAAAAACTCTCTCTTGCTGTAGGGCTGTGTTTATCCCAACCTATTTCTGAGCTCTGCAATGTATTCTGTTGCCAGGGATGTCAGTCAAGCAGGAAAAATTGAAGTTGATTTCTTTTGTGCAACAGCTGCAGAACCAGGAGATGCTGAGGGCAATGGTGAAGAAAGCGGAGCTGGAAATCAATGGCAAAATGCTTGAAACAGTGAAGAGGCTTGAAGATCCTGTGCAGCGACAGCGCAACCTGGTGGAACAAGAAAGGCAGAAATATCTCAACGAGGAAGAAAAGATTGTAAAGAAGTTATGGTGGGTTGAGAAACTTCTTAGAATTTGTTGCTTTTGCTTGGCTTTTTCTTCCATAAAGTAGTAGCTTTAGTGAAAAATTTAGTTTACTAAAACTTTAAACTTAAAACTAGTAAAACTTTAGTGAAACTGCACCTGTGTATGCTGTTTTAGCTGTGTTTCCTTGCACTCATATTGGCTGTAAAACTGTGTCTGTGTTGTACAAATCACTGGTGCTGACTGGGAGTCCTTCTAAGCACAGCCCACTGGGTAAGTCCCACTGGTACAAAGAGTTTCAACCTCTTCAGAAGTCCCCTGTAAAGGGACAGATGACTGTAAGGACCGTGACCACCTCCATCTTCTGAAAGCCTCCCCCTACCCTAGGTCTACCCTTCAGCTTTATGAATTACGCTTTAGGGAAGGAGGGAGGAATTTCCTCAAGAACAAGTGGATGCAAAGGAAGGTAATAAGTTTGGCTTTAAGTCTGAAAATCAGATTTCAATAGTAAGTGCTTTGGCTATTGTGTGGGAGAGGTAGGGGAACCTCGTAAATAGAGGATTGAAGTTTAATTGCAGTCAGCAATGCCAGTCTCTGTCTAAAATTTACTCACTGGGATTTCCATACACTTAACTGCAGATAAAAGTACTTTTCTTTTTTGTTGTTGTTGTATAAAGGGTCTTTGTAAGTCTCTTTTTTCCCCAAAAACTTTGGCCTACCAAGACTGGTGGGATCCTGTTGTTTGTTTTAGTCCATGTTCAGAGTCAGCAGGAGGCAAGATGAAGCTGAAATCAATAAACAATTTAACTAGTTCTAACACTCACATTTGTAAGATGCTATATAATTAATTATTTCTCATTACTATGTTTAGTTCACACCTGAAGAATTGTTCCATAATAGAGTGAAACTTCATAGTCAGCCTATCATTGGAAATTATGATTGAAGAGCCATACGAGTACAGTTGTTGACAGCTAAGGAGAGTAAATCTTTCCTGTTGATCAATGTGTTGTCAGATGAATAAGATTTGTAATAGGAATGGTGCATCTGTAAAGACAAAGTAGAATGTTACTAAGGGAGTGTATGTTTTCTGTGAAGAAAAGTTTAATGTGTAGTAATAGTCCATGCTGGTGTATATAATCCTCTCAGCTGGTTTGTGGTCTTAAATAACATTGTGTTGTAGCCTTAAGTAATTACCCTCCTGTTCGTCACTTTATTCCTGTGTACTTCATTGTCTAGTTTCTAGATTGTTTGTTCTCTGTGGAGGGAACCATTTGTGTGATGGCTGTTTATTGCATTGCCTCATAAAATGGATACTGAGTGAGGTCAAGTGCAAATGGCATTCGTTGTTACAGCTGTTCATTTAGGATACGACTTTGATTGCAGTATGGTTCTGTTTTATCAGTGTTTGAAATTTCTTCTGTTCACAGAGTTTCTGCTGCTTCTGTGCTACTTCGTTTGTTAATGTTACAGGAAAGTGTCTTTCTTAGATCATTCATAGGCTGTAAATGTTAGTTCAACCCTTTTAGAGACATGCTAGAAACAAACATTAAATCACAAACAATTATTTATCATCAGTTGTGTCCAATGAGATTTCTTTGTCATGTATTTGCACGTTTGCAGGATCAGAGCCCAAAAGAAAAAGCACATCTGACAACAATGCTTTAAGATCAACAGCTGATAGCTGTTAATAATGAAGAGCATACATCACAAAATTACACATCAAGTGTCACTGGCAGTATTCAGAAAAAGGTTAACATTCTATATAGGCACTTTCAATTAAGCTGATCCCAGTGCAGATGTATAAACAAATGCAAAGCAACAGGGCAAAAAAATTACCATTTCTTCGTCTTTCAACTGTTGCCCTCTTGACCTTTCCTAAATCATAGGACTAAATCAGTAGACTGGCTTCATGCAAGACAAGGGAGCTTAAGGATTTCTGCAAGACTTACGAAAGTGTATTGACTACTCTGAAGTGGTAAATCGCAGCTTAAAAAGCTCTCCTTTCTGCAATTCTTAAGATTATCGCTGGGAAATAAAAAAATAAAGATATTGGCGGTTTCATGTTGTAAACAGCAGAAATGTCGGTGTACATTTCAGAGCAAGTTTTCTGTTGAGCAGCTATTCGTGATGGTGCCTACAGAAGTGTGCCCATGTGTGTCACAGCTGTAGCAGGATTACAGTTCAGAGATATCTAATGAAATCTAAGGAACATTGTTAAACGTAGTGTTTATTCACACTTGTAACAGTGAAATACACACTCGGAATTAACTGGGTAGGTTTTTTTTCTATCTAATCTTTTGATTCAACATTAGAGATGTCATATATGACCAAAGACAAATTATGATGATACGACACATTGACTAATGAAGTATTTATGTTGTGAGGAGCATGTTACAAGTATGACTACTATATGTTGTAGATTATTGTAAGCATTTTAATAGAAGGGGGTTTATAAACACAGTATTTAAATTGTAGCCACATTCAAGCTGTCTAATTGGATATGATCCATAGTAAGTTACAATTTATATTTTTGTTAGGAAATACTTTTTTATAAGAATAACCGTGCTCAGCAAAAAGAAGACTCCACTTAGCAGTCTTGGAGAGCCACTGGTAGCAGATAATTGGGAAAGGATATAAGAACATGGCAAAATGCTCAGAGCTCATCTCCTTGCTTTTAATGACTTGTAGCTTAATTTTCCAAGTCAGAGATGGTATCTTCATATGCAAAATCTCTGCATGGATTGTTTACTTTTCATGAACTTAAGCATTTTTAAAGATTTATGTAAACTTGCTTGTGTACAGCATCTAGGCTCAATGAATTCTATAGGGTAATTCTTTTTTGGGTAGAAAGAACCTCTTTTTGTTTGTTTTTGAATCTTTCATCTGTCAATCGATCCCCAAACTCTTAAATTATGCACGGCAGAATATTCACCCTCTCCAGGCTAGTCACGATGTTACAGACGCTCCCCTACGCAGTTTTCTGATCATGCCTTTTCCAGCCTGAAAAGTCTTGGTCTGCTTAGTTATTCCTCCTGTAGAAGCCATTCTTACATTTCGTCATCCTGTTGCCTTTCTGTATGCCCTTTCTAACTCTAGTGTACATTTGTGAGGTGGGAATGGGGGGAGTGGAGAGCCCTGCAATGGCTATATCTGATATAGGCATGCCATGACTTCATGCGGTGGTGTGGTGATGGTCCCCCTGTCCCCATGTTCCACGTGAGCTTTCCATTACAAATCCAACATCTCACTCACAAGGAATGATTATCAGTTCGAAGTTCATTATTGTGTATAGAAACTTAGGTTTTTGGGAGGTTGTTGGGTTTAGGTGGGGTTGTTTTTGTTTTTATTTTTCCTCTTCTCATGAGCATTACTTTACATTCATTAGGAGTTAATTTAATCTTTGGTTTTTTCCTGGTCAATTAGTATCAGATAGTCCATCTGCAGCCCTCTGCAGTCACCTTTCATATTCATTCCCCTGAATAATTTAATATGCTTTTGAGATTTCTTTACTGTACTATTCATCCTCTTTTCTAAATAATTTATAATATGTTGAAAAGCACCAGCCCTAGGACCGATCCCTGTGGAACCCACCAGCAAACTACATTCATTGAGTAATCTGTTCATCGATCCCTTCCCTTTACTTCCAGTACTTTATCCATGAGAGAATTTCCTCTCTTGTCCATGGCCACTTTGCTTTTTTGAAAGCTTTTGCTCAAATACCTTGCTGAAAGCCTCTTGGGCTATAGCTTTTCCAACATGCTTTTGTTGTTTCCTTGTATTGTGAGACTTACCTTCTCTTTACACAAATCACATTAATTACTCCCTAACACAGCTTATTTATTCATTGGTCCACTAATTCTTTATTGTTTATTCTTATTTTGGTATCTATCAATTACACGAGTCTGGGTGTCAAGCTCACCAGAGTAAGAGTATCCAGTTCCCTGGATAGCCCCATCCCCTTTTAAAAAATTTGATTGTATCATCTATGACACTTTCCACTACTCTGGTGCCAAAGCAATTTTAATCAAGAAGTTAGATGCTTAGCATTAATAGTTCGACTGTTTCACCCTCAAGTTGCTATTGAACTCCAGGGCAAATACCATCTGGCCTGGGTGATTTGTTACTATTAATTTTGTCAGTTCATTTTGTAACCTGTTCTACTGATACTGCAATCTGAGACAGATCCTCTGATGCTTTTTTGCCTGAAGAAAGATCTCAGCATAACAGTTTGCCTCGGCTCCCCTGTGTAAAACAGATGCAGAAAAATAATTTATCTTGTATTAGCCTTCTGAAACTGCATTAAGGTGAGTGTCTTGTTAATTGGGTTTGCTCAGTCCAATCCATAAAGCCAGGTTGTTTCCCCAGTTACAGAAAAGAAATGATGGAGACTGCTGGATCTGTTTCAAACTTTGGCTCCTGAGGGCTGAAGTTTCTTTTCCCTTGTAGTTAGCAACATGAGGCAGTGTAATATGGTAAGCCGTGAGTAATTTCAGGATCAATTGTCTTGTTTGATAGTATCACTGTATGGAATCAAAGGGGTTTATGATGACCCTTCCATTTCTGCTCAAAGAACAAAGGGGAAAGAAAGCTATTGTCTGCTACCTGGAATTCTTTCCTTTATCCCTACATTTCCAACAATCATAAATCTACCAAAACATTTTAACATTGTTCTGTGTTTGTTCCTTTCTCTTCTTTCCACCCATGAACAAATTTAAGCTTCTGCCCTTATCTTCTTTGTTGCCTGGTGGATGCCAGCATCTGAGAAGCTGCTTTTCCAGTGCTGATCTACAAAAAGGGGGTGGAGGGGGAGGGTGATTCCCAAAGTAGCACTGCCTAGCCTGAGTGCCAGTATCAGGGCATTAAGAGTAGGGAGGATGCATGGCTGTAGAGCACCGTTCTGGAGGGCAGGAGCCTTTGAATTGTAGTGAGTGACAGAAAGCCGAATTCTTTTTCCAGCTCCTTCCTAGACTGTGCCCTTTATTGCAAAGGCAGACAGACAGAGACAGCTGCATTATCGGAGCCTCTTCCACTGGAAAAATACCCCGAGAAACGTTCCCTTGCTGCCATCGTGTGGTCCCTTGGACTGTTTCCTGCAAGTACGCTTGTGCTAGTGGAAATTGTGACTCCCCCAGTCTTTCTCAAGGCAGAGTCTTTGGGAGGAGTGGTCTTAAAAGGGGAACAGGATCATTTACCTCCACTTGTTTGTGATCTGTTCAGAAGTGACTTATGATTCTTAATTCAAAATTGTTTTGTAGTTTCTAAAGTTTTAGTCTTTGGATTGAAATGAACTCTTTGCTGTATGCACTTGATGTTCAGATTCTGATACTATTTCTGTTTCTCTGTATATCAGAAGTACTATTGTATTGCCATTTATTGTTCTGTGTGACTGTGCTTCCACTTCAAATTGACCTAAATGCGGAATTGTGCTCCAAGGGATTTTCTCCTTTTTATCCCATTACTGGCCACCTACTCCTCTCTTTTCGTCCTCATGTCACCTATCCACGGAGATGGAGCTAGGAAGTGACCTGGCTGAAAATAAGTAATTTTCTGCTGGATTTGCATGGCAGTGCTGGCACAAGGGAAATGTGTGGAAATGGAAGACCTGTGGCTGGTGCAGAAGGCAGTCTTCCCCTACCTCTTTTCAGGCAATCAGCCCATATCTTGGTTCTCTTGCAGCAATTGCAAAACTGCTACCTGAGTGGATGTGAGACATGAGGCCCAAAATTAGGTTAAAATGAGTAGCCAATTTGTCAGTTCAGAGTTTGCTTTGCATTGTTTTCAACCATACTTCAACCAATTAAACTGCTTCTCAGAATATTCCTGTTAGTAATTGGTATCTTAATAGAGGTGGATTTCTCTTGGAGTGAATATTCAAGAGATGATCCTTTTAAGGTATTCGCATGGGTGTTTGTATAGTTGTGCATAATGCATTTCAGGTTTTTTTGAGAAATTTTTAAGCTTCTGTGTGGACACTCCAGCTAAAGTAATGTGGTTTCAACCTTAAACGGAAAAAAAGTGGCTCTCCCCAAAACAAAAATAAAGTTTATGTGTCTGAAGGATTGTGAAAATTTATGTGAAGTATGGAAGCACTGGAAAAAATATTTGGAAACACGATGAGAAAGCACCAGATGGAGCCGGAGGAAGCACGGGACAGCACTGTTTGGAAAAAACATCTGAAGTGATTCATTCTTGAATCCAAATGCTGAACAAGAGCTGCACACTATGCATACTTGCTGTTTCAGTCTGGCTATTTGTGGAAACAGGACCCTGTATCCTGTCTAGCAGGACCCTGCAGATAAACAGGGTTGCATCAAGGGGCCATTAGTGCCAGTTTTTGGGTTGTTATTTCACTGTTGGGCATTCCTTTGCATGTCATCAGCAATGAGAAAATGCAAGGTGCAAACCAGTACTGGATGCAGTGGTACAGTGTGTCTGTACCCTTCTAGGATTTGCATCCCCAGAGGGCTGGCTGTTAGATGTGTTTCACCACCCCACCTGCCCTTTGTAGCACAGCTGCCCTGAGGGCAATATGCTCTGCACAGCTGCAGCCTGTCAGAGAAATCATTGACTTGGGCTAGTTACAAGCCTGTTCCTATGCTGTGAGCGTTGAACATCCTCACTTTCCCTCATGGTACCCTGCTGTTTTTTCAGCCCGTGGTGCCAGATTTAAAGATGCCACAACTGAGGTTTCTGGTTTAGTTTAGTCCATTCATTTACATATATTTGATTGTAATGTGAAAGTCCTGCTTACATTTTATGTCCACTTTTTTTGTTTTGCCAGTGAGCTGGAGGCATTTGTTGAAGACCTGAAGAGGGACTCCGCTGCTTCGAGTAAGACAGTTACACTGAAAGATGTTGAAGACGGAGCCTTTCTTTTGCGTCAAGTGGGAGAAGCTGTTGCCACCCTGAAAGGTATGTACTTTTCCTTTTTACTTTTGGTTCTTCTCTTTTAACCACAGCAGCTGAGAACAGTTTTGCCTTTGATCTGGAGGCATTAACTTTCACTTCCAAAAAGATTTAAAATTGGGATTAAGGAGCTTGTTGCATGGCCCCTGGACAGAGGTAGACACTCAACTATTTAACATTCACCCCATCATCCGTTTCTCCCCAGAGCTTTTATCATTTCCTCTTGAGCTTCACCGTTGTTGTCTTTGCAGGAGAGTTCCCGACATTGCAGAATAAAATGCGTGCGATCCTCCGGATTGAGGTAGAAGCTGTGAGGTTCCTAAAGGAAGAACCACACAAACTAGACAGCTTGCTGAAACGTGTGCGCAGCATGACTGATGTCCTTACCATGCTCAGGAGGTGATTTTTTTTTTTTTTTTTTTTTTTCCCTTCAAAACTAAAGGATTTCCTTAAGCAGGGCTGGAACAGCTTTCAGGTTTGGGTTCTCCCCCTCTCCCCAGGCAATTTTGAGAAAAGCAACTTGCTTGCAGTATTTTATAGATTCTTCCTAGAGTGCTCTCAAGGGAAATCAAATTAACCTTTCCTGTGCTCTGTGCGGTGGTTCTGTTCTGACCAATAGCCCCAGTCATCGAGATCTTATGATTGAAACTAGCTCCCTCTGAACTCAACACTTCCAGATTTGGGAAGTACCTGGATGAGAAAGCTTACAGAGCGGCATCAGTCCCATATCTGAGCTAATTAACTGTGGGCATTTACAGCAATGTAAGCTACTAGAAATATTCTCTGACACTGAAACGTGCATCCCCAAAAATGTAGCCGTAAGAAATAAAACAGGAAAAGATTCTAAATGAATAAAGATATCCTAAACCTTCTGAAAGAAAGAAATATTTTTCAATATGCTTGTGAATTCCTGCAAATTCTTTATTTGGTTCTTTGCAAGGAAGATGCGTTAGAGAAAGTTGAAATATTAGATAAAATTTGTGTCCACTAAGTGCCAGTGTTTAGCTATGTTTGTCAGAATATATGAGCAGCAAGTGACTGCTGATTTATATAAGGCAATAGGCATTGGATTTAATTCCTACTCAAAACCAGTGAATCAGGAAAAACTGTCAGTGGTGGTGGTCTCAATTTTAGTTCAATTACAAGAAAATGTAAGTAAGTCATAAGCCTATTGTTGCTACCATTATTCTAAGGAACGTAGGGTTGTCATTGTTTCCATATATCCTGCAGCATTTGTAAAATGGATTTGCCAGTATTGGCAGATGGATAAAATTTTTTATGTAACAGGTGTTCTAAGAGCCATCACTTATTTTTCCATGTAGATAAACATCTATATGCTTTCATATTAGTTTCCTTTTCTTAAAAATGACTACAGTTATTTCCTGTCTCACCCTGTTTGGGAAAAAACCCAATAAACTATGCATGCCAAAGTTTTACCAAAAGTAATTTTTTGCACCAAAATTGCATATTAAGCCTCATAAAGTCTCTTTCAGTAATGGAAAAACTGATGGCATTTGATGGCTAGGCATACTCCGAAGCTCAGCCATTTCACAGCTAGTGGCCAGAAATAGTTGGCTCTATACATCCTCAGCCCATTCTACCCCAAACTCTTGACAGACACAACCTTTGTGAAGTATCATTTGAAGGCTTTGTTTTGGCAATTTGCCAAACTGTTACCTCACATTCTTATGTAACTACCACTTTCTGTGCTAATAGTCCAGGAACATCTTGTTTAGCTAGATACAGTGTGTAAAATTTAAGTCAACTGATTTCCATTCTTCCTCTAAAATCAACCCACTGTAACTCATGGCTGGGTCAAAAAGTGCCAGTACATCCATAAAGGTTTGTAAACATTTTAAAAGGCAAAACCATCCTAATTAGAGTGGCCTCTTTAAAACTCTGAGTCTCTGACTCTGAGAGAAAGCTATAAAATCACACAACTGAGAGCATCAGGAGGAAAAAACACCATTTTGATGGTTTTGATATAGGTGCTTTTCCCTTGCAAAAGTTTATTGTTAAGTGTTGTTCATGACTGACCTGTATGCTAACCAAGTGCCACGCTGTTGTGTTCAATTTGGCTGGGCAGACATGTTACAGAAGGACTGCTGAGGGGTGTGGATCCATCCCAAGCCGTGCAATACTCTGCTATGGAAAAGGCCACTGCAGCTGATGCTCTGAAAAACCAGGAGGAGTTCAAGCATGCCCAGGGACCTGCACAGCAAAACCTCACAGCAATCACATCGGAGTCCCAGGTGTCATCAGTCAAGTCAGAAGTCGTCCCCTTCTCAACAATGACGGTCCATCATGTACAGAGCTCGCCTGTTGTCATCCATCAGTCTCAGCACTCATCGGCCCTGGTCAACCATGCCCAGGGTTCACCCACTGCAGCCAGCCACAGTGAAGGTGTGCCGGCGGGTGGCCATCTCTCGGCCACCTCACCAGCCCCCCCACAAGAGCCCGCAACAGGATCCCAGCCAACACAAGCCACGCCAGCACCACAGGTCTCTGTCAATGGCACCACCATGCAAAGTCTTTTCATTGAGGAAATTCACAGTGCAAGTACCAGAAACCGAGCTGTATCAATTGAGGTACGGTGTATTCTACTCAACCAGTTGTCCTCTCTTTGCGTCTGAGCTCCCAGTCTCGCTCTTGAGATGGCAGGTGGGATTTTTCAAATGCATTCTGGGGATTTATATGCTTAACCCCTAACTACACCGTGCACTTCTGAAGATACCCTCTGATTTTAAATGCAACAGGATAATAACATATAATCAAAATGAGTAACTGTGTTTTTTAAATAACCTTTATTAAAAAAAAAAATTCTTCTTTAGAATACCTTATTTTTGAGCAATAACGTATGATTCTCTGGCAACACTTGCATCAGTGGATTTCATTCATGCTTTAAATCTCCGTATCCCTCATTATGGAGAGGTAAAAGTGAAAGAGTTTCACTTCCAGTGGTTTCACACAGAGATACTGAGAAAACCCCCAAGTGAACTCTCACGTCTTATTACGGACATGCACTTTAATCACCAGTGTGATATAGTAAGGCAGTGACAAAAGATTTAAATTTTGCCTTTGTTCCTTTAGTGAGCAGTGGCCACTGTCAGTCTGTCATGTGTTTGTGCCATATCTAGCACAACGGAAGTCAGAACTAGTGTACAATTAGTGTTAATATATTTCCTCTAGTTGCTGACTAAAACCGAAAGAATCTATCCATATTCACCTATAATATTTACACATGGATTTTTTTTTTTTTAAAGTAAGTGATTGTAACAGAAATCAGGGAAATAAATAGGTGCTTTCTGTTTTTGTCTAGAAAGCTGAAAAGAAATGGGAAGAGAAAAGACAAAACCTCGATCACTATAATGGAAAGGAATTTGAAAAGCTCTTGGAAGAGGCCCAGGCCAATATAATGAAGTCAATTCCTAACCTGGAGATGCCTCCTCAGCCAGCAGCCCTGCCTAAAGGGGATGCAGTGGAAAAACTAGAAGTCTCAGGTAAGGTTTGGTAGAGTAAATGGTGCTACAGAATTGCAATCTGGAAAAGAGAGGTTATTTTTCCTACTTTCTGGGATGGTTTCAGTTTACAGATTTCTGTGTTCTTGATCATACCTATGAGTATGTCCCCAGTGAATAATGCAGGTCCTGTGGACAAGATGCAGTGATTTTGCAGATGCCAGTGTGGATAACCAGCTGAACACGAATTTCCCCATATTGCAACTGAGCGAGTGAGTTTGTCCTCTGGAAATAAAGACTCCTTACGAGCAGGAGAGTAAAAGTACACCTTGCTTTTGACAGAGATGAGAGTGTCTGTATACTATACTATATCTATATCTAGTATACTGTGTTCAGTTTAGCACTTAGAAGTTTAGCATTACAGAGAGCTCTGGAAAGAACCACAAAGAGTTTGAGCACAAATGATCGTACCATCAGAAACCTAAAAAGTTCTTTTTGTATACATATTTGTTATCAAAAGAAGATCAAGACATGCCTGAAGTTTCTGAGGGTAAGGAGGCCTTTTAACTTTGCAGAACATGTTCCGACAAGTTCCAGCAATTGGAAGCTGAAGCTAGAAAAAGCCACATTAAAAGTTAACTGTCAAATTTTAACATTTAGAGTAACTTAATCGCTGAAATTTAATTATGAACACTACAAACACTCTGCCACTTCAAATCTTTAGCAATACTATGCTGCTCAGGCACAAGCTCTGCATGATGCAAGACCTGCTTAAAGAAATCCTTGAACCTATGTTAAGTTGAAAGTCAGACTATTTGATTTTAATAATCCTTGCTAACTTCGTAATCTTAAACTATAAATACAACCAATGTTTTAGATGAGTCCCTCAGAGGTCTGAAAATGACCTGTGATTCTACATAACTGAGTTGTCTTGGAGAAGTGGATAGATATGTAGGAATGAATGAGTGTTTTTCACAGTAAGCATTCTGGCTGCCCACAGTTGTGGTATAGATATACCGAGTTTCAAGTTGAATGTGAGTCAGACTGCGACCCTGTAGCAAAAAAAGTCAAACATCATAATGAGATGAACAGGAATATCTACAAGACACATGAATCTGCTCAGCAGTGGTGAGCTTTTACACAGAAATTTTCAAACTCAATGTTTTGGACTTCAAGAAAGACTTAACAAGTAGGAGGGAGTCAAGAGGACAGCAATGATAATGACCAGAGCTCTAAAAAAAACATGATCTCTGGGGAACAAAAAGAAAGAATTGGTTTTGTTTAGCATGAGGAAGTGAAGGCTGAGGAAGGACAAAGCAATCTCTGAATACATCAAAATCTGCTTAAAAAAGAAAAGACCAACTTGCTTTGTGTGGGTAGAACAGCAGTAGAAGTTGGCAATTGCAACAGGAAGATCCAGTTCAGGTATTAGGGAAAAACCTTGTAATGATAAGCAAAGTGAAGCACTGAAGAAGGCTGTATGAGACAATGAGGAGGATGTAAGACCCCCATCATTGGAGAGAATGGCTTAGACTAGTATTGATCAAGTATTATATAGGTAGAGCTATTTTGTGGTAGCAGCATGATGGGGTGTCCTTCCAGTCCTATTTCTTTCATATGTCTGAATTTCTTCAAAGTTCAAGGAACAAAGAAGATGCCTCAGCCAAACCTTGGATTTACCTCATTAGCCAAACATGAGTCAGCTGCAAAATTTTTACCCAGCTACTTAAACTATAGTCCATCTGGCTCAGCGGTCTGTCTCTGGCAGAGGCAATGGGAGATACTGTCTGTGGGCAGCACAGAACCTGGCCATCTTTTGCAGTCTGCTAGCACTCCCTCAGCCCCTCCAATTGATATTAGAGAGAATATCCCAGCCTCCTCCTTTTCGTGTTCATTATGGACCTTTTATCCAGTAATTCCTCTATACCTGCTTATACCATTTGCTTCCCCACTGCTGTGGCAGCAAGCTCCAGGAGCTCACTCCCCATCCTGTGAAGGAGCTTTCCTTTATCTGTTTTAAAATGCTCTCGTACCGGCTTCACTGAGTTCCCCATAGTTGTAATATTCTTCAATTTGGCAAACAGCTCTGCATTCCCTTTATAAAATCATGAAGGCAGTGGATAGACCTTGATCATATCCTGGAGGTCTCAGCCTGCCCCGTGGGCTTCAAACTGCAAACTTGCAGCCTTTCTGGCCTCTCCATCTAGGCCAGCTGCTCCCTCCCCAGGCTCGTTTCAGTTACCCTTCTTTAACTCCACTGTGTCCTTCTGGAGCTGTGGAGACCAGAGCTGCATGCTGCACTCATGGCGTTGGCATGCCAAGGTTGTAAATAGCTGCAAAATGATGCCCTGGGGCTTGTGTACACAGATTCATATAGAATTTGGGAAGAGTGTTTTCAGATCCAGCGATTTGTTCTGGGGGCAACTTTAGCACTGACAAGTTGTGGCTCCTTGGATGTTTCACAACATACATGTTTAAAATAAATTCTGTTGAACCTCATAAAATAATTTTAGAATTCTGGCACCATTCAGTGAGGTTACTGGCTATCAACACAATTATCTTGTATAATGTGTGACATAAATAGAAAATGTCAGTGAAAATAAATACCATATGGGTGCAGTGAGCTGTGGCATCTTAAAAAGTGCAGAACACAATAACAGAGAAGTTTTGTAACTCGCATAGTTAACTAATCCACTTCTAGAATACAATTTTGCACAGTGTGTAGCCAGCAGATTTAAGGAGAAATTTGATGAGATTGAGACATTTGCCTTCTGTTGTGCATAATGAATCCTGTAATAGTAACATAAATAAGGGAACAGCTAAACTTTTCCTTAATATCTGATTAAGTATCTCACATGCCACCCAACTTTTCTATGATTCAATATGAAAATTTCAGTATCAGTCTGCTGTAAACTAGAAAACTGAGCAATATAAGGAAAGAGAGACCACCTACCTACTAATATAGTGCATAAGACTTTTTGGACATAAATTAGAGGAGTCCTCCGTTGGCTTTACTGCAGAAGCCAGATAGATCACGTTGCCAGAATATGTTGTCTCAGCCATTCTCCACACAGAACCCAATTAAGAAACTCTTTTTTTTTTTCCCCTGCAAAGCACAAAACAAAGTAAAATTACACTCTACACAATTTTGCAGATGACTCTCTAAATACTTCTTTAATGTCTTGACTCTAACTCATCTTTGTTACCAAGATTGTTCAGTGAAAAATAAGCATGTCTCTAGCATGTGCATTAGAAGGTGGGCTCCTTCATCTCTCTTTTTGCCTTCATATGTGAGAATGCCCTGATTTTTGCAAGTGCTGAGTGATCAGTAGCTTCCATTAAAGACAGTTTGCTTACTTGACTACAAAGGCTGCCTCAAGGCAGGCATTATTATTTTGACATCGTTTTAAGACATGTTGGATTTTTTTGGTGCAAGTAGAAATTTGTATGGTGGGGGAAATTAATTCCAGTCTGGCTGTGCCTGTTGAAGAATGTTTCAGTTCTGTGAAATGGCTGGCGGTGAACAACTCCCATTTTTTTCACAGAAGCGCTGAGCCCTTTGGCACCAAGGAAGGTACCATAAAGTAGCGGGTTTGATCATGGTTAGTCTCTAAGTGAATTGTACTTGTCCATTTACTCCTCCCTCTGTAAATATGCTAGAAGAACATAGCCATAAGAAAAAAAAAGTATTTGAATAAGGTCTTCTCAGTTTTTTTCCTCCAAAGTTTTTTTTCCCTTCCCATTTAGATTGGGGAAATAAAATTGTTTAGTAAAGAAAATAGAAATCCAGCTTTGAAGTTTTACGTCTTGCCTGGTGTTGTTGCATTGACTGTGAGCAAACCCCATCACAACCTCTCCTTAACGACCCCAGTTAAGGGATACGAGGGGATTAGCCTTCGAAAGCCTGTGCACCTGCCACTCACTGACAATTTCTCTTGCCTGTGTTTCTCATTTTTATTTCCCATTTTCAACACGGAGATGGATGAATGTCTCGCAGCTGTGAAAGAGATGGTAGGAATCATTCTGTCTTTGTGCCTTCCATGTCTCTCATCCAGCCTTGCTCTTATTAAGTGTGTGAAAAACTTTGGTGTTCTTGCAGTCAGAGCCAGTAGCAGTTTGAGGGTAATGGGTTGAGCCCATTAAAAGGAGTAGGGGTTTGCACAGGCCCCACATCATAGTTTGTTAAACGCCATCTTAGAGAATTACTCTGGTTTTACAGCAGCAGTAGTACATCTGATGTCACGAAGAACTTAGTGGTGCATATTGACCAAAGAAGTGGTCTAATGTAAAGTGCATCTGGAAATTCACTCTTGTTGCAATCCTGCGAGTGAGTGCCGGATAAGCAGGGAGGGAGATAATACAACAGAGCATTTCTTTAAGCTTAAGGAGTTTCAGAGAACATTTGGGCTAAGAAGGGAACAAAGATGAGGCCGGGTCAGACAAGGGCTCCGTCCAGCCCCAGGGGCCAGCCGGCGCGTTGGAAGAGCCTGACATAGCCCCGGGAGCAGGCAGTTATGCAATAACTTGCCCAGAGGGAATACTTAGGCCTAAACAGCTGGGTAATCCCAAAAGCAGGAGGTTTTATCTTTCTGGGTTATATTTATTCCAGCTATTTATATAACACTGAGAAGCTGCAGAAAGATTGTTCTCTCACTCTTGAAAACAAACCTTGTAAACAGCAGCGTGAACATGGTGGCTGTTGCCATGTATGATGCTTACTTAGCCTGTGACCAGAAACACATAGAGACAGGTCACGAGCAAGGTAATGCTTCTGGAAAAAATGCCATCCATTGATGGTGGGGAAGAGGAAGTGGCAGCTGGGTGGGGAAGCATTGTGGTGGGGAAATACCAGTTTGAGAAACTAGTCTTCTCTTGGAAGACTCTCCTTGGAAAGCAAGGGCTGGCTCTGCTCAGCTCTTGGATTTGGTATTTGAATCTTTGTGGGTTAGCAAAATATACATGTAGGGGTCTTATATATTAATTCAAAGGCAAACTTGTGCATTCCTGGAATAGTTAGTAGTAAGTAAAGTGAAAACAAATGCTGTCTTAGAAGAGAAGCAAGTGCAGTTGCCCTTGGTGCTCTCCTGCCCTGCTTAGGGGCGAGAGGACTCATTGAACTGGAGAGGTGGCATTTCCAGAGCAGTGTTTACATTTTCCCTCTCAGCCTTTGTCTGAACTTAGCTAGTTTTGTCCAACTATAAAATGGACAAAACTCTACAGCTTCTCTCCTAGCGCCAGCAGCACCTGCCAGGCAGAACAGAAATGTGTGCTGGTTGCTTCAGAATTGCTGAGAACAACAAGAAGCCTCCAGGTTTGGTGTCTTGCTAGTAGCCACATCAGTGGCCACACTTTCAAAGGAAGCTACAGGGCCACTATCTGTAACCAGGTACCTAGCTGAACCTGCACCTTACATGCTTCTTTACAAGTGATTGATTTGCAGAAGTGCGCTGTGCTGTCACACTTGTACACCAAGGGCTGAAACCCAGCCACAGTGACGTGGCGGACAAGAGTTTTGCTGAAAATTTCTGGGTAAAGTGACATGACAGTGCAAGTGCAGCACTGTCTGCTTTTGTTCAAGGCATTTTCACTTGAATCCCAAATGTGTTTCTATTCATATATATTTAGCAGCAGGACCTTTTAAGACATTTTTTTCCTTTCCAATTGAGGCAGGGATGCAAATACTTTATCCGTCCTTCACCTATGCTCACTTTGTGCTGCTCTGTTTACTTGCAGAAGAAGTTCCTGATGGAGAACAGGATAATGACAAACTGACCAAGTCTCCACCTCCTCCACCTCCGCGGCGCAGTTACCTGCCAGGTTCAGGACTAACCACAACGAGATCAGGAGATGTCGTCTATGCAGCCAGAAAAGAGGCTGCTGCTGTCAAGGTTTGATGATTCAGACTCTAGGCAATCAGACTGTTGATGAGTGCCTGGCACAGAGAAACATTCCCAGGCTTGGGCTGTGTCTATAAACCACAAAATAAGTTGAGACAGAGCTACGTCCTGGAGAGCTACTGAAACTGCTTCCCAGGAAACACTACTGTTAAGCCAAATGAACAAGTAAGGTTTGATCAGTTCTGTTTACAGGAGTCTTGCTGCTCTTATCTCCTAGCAATGTAGAAGGCAAGTCGCAGACTGCTTTCATTTAGAGTGGTAAGAAGATTAAAAATAAAAAAAGCACGCCTTACTTAGATGGGGAAGATCAGCTCAGATTTGAGAGTGTTTTTACAGAAATGTTGCAAATTAGTTTCTTTGGGCTTCCTTTCCCCATCTGTTCTGTTCCCTGAAGGAAGTGGAGGGAAGTCCAAGTTAGGAAGCTTTTTAATCTGTGAACATGCTATCACATCAGCAATATTGGTTGCTTTTGAACTGATGAAGTAGCAGTCTCCTTAAAAAGGAAGAGGGACCTTGCAACAGGGGAATTGCAGTAGTGTTGAATTTTCTGTGTTTGCTTTGCATCAGGAGGGCTCAACTATATTTTCTCTCTGTGCCTTCTCATCCCCTTGTAGGAATGCAGTGAAGATGCTGGGCAAATAGCACAACCCAAAGCCCCTAAAGAGGATCAGGCATTGTCTCGGAGCACAGGGCATGCTGTAGCATCAGCTGCAAAAGATGAAGAGGAAGAGGAAGGAGATAAAATAATGGCAGAATTACAGGTATGCCCTTTGGGTTGCACATGAAGACACCTGTGCCCAATATCACTTCTAGGGCCTCGGCACAATTTATAGCTCAGAACATGAAGGAAAGTAGGTCTGCCAGTCTCACTCGGTCCCACTTTATTGCGCTGGGTGGTACACGTTTTGTAAGCACCACCCAAATTTTGTGCAAGAGGTCTGGAGCTGAGAGAGTGGTCAAGAGTGCAGGGGTTACCACTGGAGAATCTTACACACATAGATGGGTCAAGTCAAATATTGGTGTGCATTAGGTGTGGTTGTCCCTGGCCTAGCATTTTCCACTTAGTACCAGACCGGCAAGGTGCTGAGAGCCCATCATTCGTGTTAACATTGGTGGGAACAGAAGATACGGGGTCTGCTCCTGGCAGGTTGTGCTTACTTGTTCTGTGCCATGGTCCAGTGTTTCCCGGAGTGTTTGAACATTGAAACATTTGCTGTTCCCTGTTGTGTAACTGGTACATTACTCTGCCATAGCAGAGTGGCATAGGAGTAGTGCTCTCTTGCTGGTCCTTCGCTTGATAGCACATAGGCCGGTTTAGTTCAGTTAGATGCTGCAGTAAAAGCCAACTATTCCAGCTACCATCAGCGAGCTCCAGCTTCCCAGGGGCACCCTCTGTCCTCTTCCATGCCCACGTGAGGAAAGGAGATGTGGATCAGCTTACCTGGCTGTAACTTCTGTTGTTGGGGTGTTTCAGAGCACTTGTCACAACATGAGATGATCCTGCTGTCCACCTGCCAAAAGGTGGGTTTGGTGCTGCCCAGGGAGTGTTTGCAGCACAGGAGACATGGATATTAAGCAGCAACTGTTACATGTGATGAGTGCACCCTGCTCAACTCTCACCCACCAGCGCTTCAAACTGCTGGTTTGCAAGTTTACCTGCAGTGGTTTACCCTTGTCCCCTGTTTGTGTGCTAATGGCTACTGTGGCAGGATAGCCGGGGACAGTGAAACTGTCATTGTCTCCTGTCTCCAGGAAAGCAACCCGGCTGCCTTGCAACTGGTGACAATGAAATGGAGGTTAAGGTCTGGAAAGGAGACTCAGGGGAGCTAAGGAGGACAAATAGACATGGTAGCTCAACAGGGAATGAGTGTTTGAGTGCTAGTTTTGGGGACAAGCAATGCTCATTTTAAACAAATACCAAAATATCAGGTACATTTTAAAAGGTTGACAGGGTACCATGTTTTAGAAAGGGCAAACTGCTTAATCCAGAAGCTACAGGCTCATTAGTGTGATATCAGTCATAGGCAGAATAATGGAAAATCAGGTACGGGATTCAATCAGTGAAGAACTAAAGAACAGATGTAAACAGTTATGCTAGTAAACACAGTAAAATGGCACACAGATCTGTCAAAGCAAACAACACTCTTTGATCAGGTAGCAGGTTTGACTGCTTGAACTGAATTGTATACGTATAAACATTTTTGTGAGTCATTTGATCAAACATCATACAACATTCTGATAAAAATCTGGCACCATCAAGTATATAAAAAAAAAAAAAAGGACAATTGAGAGCTGTATGGCTCTGAAAGTGTTGCCTTTGGTGCAGGTGTTTATAGTCAGGTCCCACAGACACCAGCTACAGGCCCAGTGCCACTCTGTATTTTCATCAATGGCCTGGAAATACATTTAAAATCCTTATTGTTTAAACCAGCTTAATTAAAACTAGTGAAGTATGAGAGCAGGGAGATGATAGCAATCATGTACTGGTCATAACACATTCACTGAAATATAAAGTCCACATGAAGAACATTAAATATAGGCCAAACCACAACTGTATGTCTTGGAAAGGAACAGGAGTTGCAGTAACAAGCTGACAGGAGGTCCCAGGTCAGTGCTGTTGCCACGAAGTTAGTGTCTGATTTGGGTGTAGACATGAGGACAGGGAGTGTTTTTATCTCTGTGTACAGGATCAGTGAGATCAGCACTGGGCTGCTGCATCCATGACTAAGTGTCCATGCATCCTCTATTTGAAAAGGCTGTTAAGAATATGAAGGTTCAGAAGAGACTTGAGTACAATGTGGAGGTACCTTCATGGCAAGTATCTTTTTAATCTAGGAGAAAAAGGCATACTAATATCAGTTGCTATAGCTCGAAATGTATTTGGACGCTATTATAGATATTTCGGACAAAAGTGATAAATAAACAAATTACAAAGGGAAATAATGGATTCTTCACCACTTAAAGTCTGAAGGACTTTGAGGATGCCTTTGTAGATGGTATGCCTAACTCAAAAACACATCACTAGTCTCACAAATGGGTAAGCTGGGGAAAGTCCATACCTGTATTATGAGGAGTGAGACTACTTTGTCTAATAGTTCTATGTCATCTTAGGTACTCTGGTCTATAAACACATACAAATAGGATGTAATGGAAAATCAGAAGAAACTCTACAGCCTGATTTTTGCTCTGGATTTTTTCATTATTGTTACTTTTCTGATTTTGCATAAACATGCAATACATATGAGGAGTACAATAGTTAAAGAACAGGCCTGATTCTAATCTGTAATCAGGGCTATTAATTTCATGAGAGTTGCCAGGAATTAAATAATTTCCCTAATACATAGTATACAAATACAATCTTACTGTGTGTCACAGTGCGTTTGAGTCCTGTAAGCACTCCTCCCTCATTCCCCTGGCTGACACAGATGTCGTGCCTGTACGTCTCACCAATGGCAGACTGTGCCATTAGAGGCCTGCAGAAATCCCAGTAATGCACACTTGGAGCCAGCTCTGCGCAGTGGTGGCAGTAATGGTTCTGCTCCTCTGGATCTGGGAGCCAGCTGGAGAGAGAAACCCAAGGGAAATGGAAAGACGATAGCGAGGCAAAGGGCTGAAAAGTCCAGGCCATGCCCTGGAGTACACATGGTGGGAGGCCAGTGGTTCGCAAGCCCATATATTGGGGTGTTTCCAGACCAGGAGGAACCTGAAGTGGACTGTCGCCATCTAGAGCATTAGTGAGAGCTGTGGCAAAGACACACACCACCAAGTTTTAATAAGTTTGTGTGGGGAGAAGTGGTGCATGCATGATGTGCCATGAGACAGACAAATCTGGGAGCTGAGTGGACAGCAAGGGGTGGGGAAGAGGTATTAGATGCCACCTTCTCTCATTTATTAAATGTGTAAGGCCTGCTGCTCCCACCTCTTCCTCACATTTCTGCAGGCAACATACAGATCACTTCCAGATGAGAACATCTGGGGAAGAAAATACGTATTTCCGCTCTGTTGTCCTATCCAGGGAAACAGCAAACCCCTGCTAATGGGAATGGAGGTGAGAAAGCATAAAAGAAGCACAAGAGAAGTGTTTGGGGATAGTAAATGGAGTAAAGAGAGCTGAGCTTTGGGATTCATTTATTTTAACTCATAAAACCTTAGGTTTAGTTATGAAGTGATGTGTGGTCGAGGCCAAAATATGTCTGATAGGGATTTTGAGGAGATACCAGACACTAGGAAGTAGGTAGTGTCGCAAGCCCAAAGTTTGTCATGGCCTTCCTACTTAAGTTTGGATAGTTTGCAGCACCTCTGTGTGCCTTCATCTCCCCATCTGTAAAAATAGAAATCAAGCTTGTCTCCCTGCAGGGGACATTGAGGTCAGCATCATGAGTTAGACTGCAGTCTCGGCAGATTCGAGGGTGTGCCCTCTTAGTCTGATAGTCTAAAATCTCTATTATCTCATGAGCTTGTAAATAATGTTGTTGAGCTGTGAATGTTAAAAACAAATGCTCTCTTGTAGTTGGTCATCTCCAGACATTTCTGTATAAAAGCTACTTGGTCTCCTGATAACCTGCAGTATTTATTTCCTAGGCTTTCCAGAAGTGCTCTTTTATGGATGTAAACTCAAACAGTCATGCTGAACAGTCCAGAAATGATACACATGTTAAAGACATAAGGCCTGGAACTTTAATGCATCACAAGGAAAAGAAGGTAACAAGTGGCATTTGTAAACATGCCACCCGGTCTTGGCATAACCTTCTTTCCTTCAAAACTAATCTTATATCTTGTGTCCTGTTCTCTCTAACCCCCACCCACCACTGCCCAGTGGTTTCCTTCCTTTTATCTCAGTATGGCTCAGAAACGCTCATATGAAACGTTGTATCAATCTATCTACATTATGTGTCTCATAAGCAATTATACAAGGGTTGCATGAAGTTTTATGATTCTGTGAAAGCAAAATTAAAAGAGGATCCATCAGTTTCTGCCAAAGAGATGCTCGTACTCCTCAGAACATCCTTCCAGTGCTGTTCTGGCAATGGATGGTGAAGCATCTCTCCTAAGTTTTGTACTTGTCTTGAGAAGAAACACTGGTTCTTCTCAGTCTCAAGAGCCACTTTAGAGAATTTCTGCTTTATTTTGGTTCATTTGTTGGTCCCAGAAATAGTTATTAGATATTCAGAAATCCATTCAGTTTATTGGAAGGTAGAGTCAAGGTGGATGGGCCGAATTTGCCCTTATTCTGAAAGTTAATGCCCAAGATTCACTCTTCGGTGATGGGACTTAGAAGAGGTGCCACATGTCTGGGGCCATAGCCAAGTTGGGGTGAATTTCATGGTTGTGTCTGGACTGGGGTTGCCATTTGAGCTGATTGGTCCTAGTGGGCAGCCAATGTGCAGGATGAAGAAAAGGACAAATATTTCTGCCTTTGCAGACCTGTTCTTTAAGTTTAAGAATAATGACTTGAATCGTTACTGGGTTTACGGAGTCGTACAGGCATGACAGCTTGTCAGCCAAATGCCAGTTTGCAATGAAGGGGGGTATGGTGGGGAAGAAAACACGGCTCTTCAGCACAGCATTTCAACTTTGTCATGCATTTTGTGTGTGTATGCGAATTGGAAATAGCAGTAATACCTTCTCTGGTGTAACATCATGAGTAGCTCCCCAAGGATTTTATGGGAGACATTGCACTTCAACTTCATTTGACAGAAACTGGCAGGGAGAGAGAAGATGACTGACAGGTCCTCAAGGCAGAGAAGAACCCAGCTGCCCTAACCACAGTGAGCTGCATCTGCATAGGGCACTGCAGCTGTAAAGCACAAGGTGGCAGCTAGATGGTGGTGTCTGATACATTATTAGCATCAAAATCCATACCTCCCCCAGAAGGTACTGCTGCCAGGTCAGGGCATTGCACACAAGGACTTGGCTTGGAGCTGTCTAAACAGCAGTTCTGGTTTAAAGCTGCAAACACCTGGCTGGGTGAGGGTACAAGTTCATGGGTATGAGTAAAAGGGAAAAACTGCTTTGTTGTGGAGTGTATGACAGTGTTACGGAGGGAAAAAAGTGTGAACATATCTCTATTTGTCCTCATTACTACTGGTGTCAGAATGAGAAGATCATATTGTTACACAAAAACCTGGGTCACCACTCAAGACGCTGCACATCCTGCAGCACAAATGTTTCTTTGAAAGGTGCTGCCAAGTAATTGCCATAAACTGCTATTTATTGGAATGACATAGAGTCCAGGAAATTAAGGTTAATGAGATCTGGTTTTGTCATCTGACATGACAGTATGTTTGTTGGCTTTAAATATGGAGCCTTATGGTCATGATAAACTCGTAGAGGAAATGAATTTTGTTGTGGTTTTAATTTTTAGTAGAAAGGCAGCAGTTCCTAACATGAGATATATTGTGCAATGACACCACGAGGTGTTGCACTGATGCTTGGAACAGGAAGTGGAACTTGCTAAAAAAGATATAGAGAAATGGGAACTCAGTCACTGAGTCAGCATATCCACAGGCAACAAGTGCCGTTAAATGGCCTGACCTAATTCTGGGAGCTCTGACATGTAATGGACTGGAAGGCGCCTACCACTTAGCAAGTCTGGGCCTGAGGTGACCATGAGCCCCGGCGTTTTGTTCTGATACCAGCTCTCAGCACAAAGTGCAGACAGCGTCAGCCTGCCCACTGATGCCTCGCTGGCTGTGGCTGGTTTGCATGATGGCTCCTCCTTATTTAGAAATATGAGAAATGTCAAGGTATCCGTGGAGCAGCTGCACAGCCTTGTTACTGCTAATAAGCCTTTGTAGAGATGAACTGTGACTCTAGTCTATTGCTGACTTTCTCGCTCCTGCATTTTGATTGTGTGTAAAGTTTTTCTGTGTAAAATCTTCAGACAGTATATAAGAAAATATCACACAAGATGTAGAAACTATAGCTTGTGAACTTCTGTATGCATGGGGAGTGCATGCAGTAGCCAACCTGTGGATTTCTGTACCATCACTCATTCTTCTCAGCTGAGAGAGAGATTCTCCTGACTGATCTGCACGCCTTGATGCTCGTATAAGTATAATCTGTCCTTCTGGTGTGTTAGGAGTCAGCTTCTAGTCTCAAGCCGTGTTAGCAGTAAGGCTTTTGGCTCACTGCCTTCAGGCACTTGAGGCCAGATTCATTTCCTTCTTGGCGAGCCGTCTTTTGACTGTAGATTTCTCTCTTGCTCGTTCATAGGCATGGTGTCTCTTCAGGTCATTCCCTCACCCTGATGATTGGTGTTTATCCTAAGCTAGCACTTAACAAACCAAGCCCCAAAGAAAACCCTGGTGTTATGAAACAGCATCTCCAGGGGACCTCGTTTGAAAATAAAGAAAAAAGTCCCCTTAAATTTGTATTGCTGGGAATATACTACTTTTGAGCTAGTGGATGACGTCTCTGTGTGCTTCTATAAATGAATGTTCGGAGTTGCTTCTATAAATGAATGTAGCTCAGTGTTTCATTCTGCACTTCCACGGGCGCTGCAGTGTGCTGCTGGTAATTTTGAAGGAGTACTTTTAAGCTGTGGCAAGGATTTAGAAATGCTCAGACTGTGATCATATTAACTGTGATGGAACAGCGGTTCGCAGGTGTGAGCAACATTAGAAGCAGCAAAATGTCGTAATTTTAAAATCAGCTTTTACAGGTACAAAACTTCCATTCAAAGTTAGCGAGACTCTTGCTTTTGGTACTCTGGAGAGCTAGCAAGCCGTAGCGCCCTGCTGTCAGCCCTTCTACGTCAGGCTCCCTTTGATGTGTCCCAGCAGAACTTAATCAGATACTGTGAATCTTTTCAACTTCAATCTTATACAAACTAGGGATTTTTTTTAACTGGAAAGTAAGCAGGTCAAGGTAGCACTGTGCTGGAAATAAGGTAACTAGTGTGCTTTTGCATATTCTGGAGGCCTTGTTAAGACAGGAGCCCTAGGTAGCAACCCAATGCTGGCCGCATGAATAGCACAGAGCAGTAACATTATGCGCTGTTCTGCCAGAATTTGGAATTTTGCCCCGAAGAAAGACAGGAATCCGATGACAACTTCAGACATGCCTCTGCAGCAGTAAACAGAGTGGTGAGTTCATGAGGTCTGCGCTTCCCCTGAAAATATGATGATTTATTTTGGGGGAAAAAAAGTCCTGTAAAGGTAACAGCCCTGAATAACTAAGTAATCCGACTTTCCCCCTTAGGTGTATGGGGCTACAACAGGATCTCTCACAGATAGTGACCATCCTAAAGAGAAGAGGGAAGGGAAAACTGAAGAAGAATTGGGTTCTGATTCATCCAGCACAGCTGACAGTAAAATTGGCTTTTCAATGAATGACAGTCCTACATTTAGCAAGGGGTTGTTTGTAGACAGTAGAGACTATTCTAAGAAAAACCTCCAGAATATGAGCACAAACCTGTCTGGTGTCAGTTTGCCAGAGGATGACAAACAAAGAGGGGCTCAAGATATTTTAGGATCCCATTTTCCAGCCATTGAAACTGGAAAACAAAAGCCAAACTATGGACTCTCACGAGATGCGCGCCAGGGCCTGCTGCAGGGTGAAGCCATGCAGAGCGCGGGCAAGCATATCTCCATCAGCAGTGTTGCCCCTCTCATGATGCACACACAGGAGACTGTGGGGCCTCAACCTTCCTCGCAGGAGCAAGAAACTTCTGCAGTCAACTACAATCAGGTTGTGCTAAGACCCAGAGCGTCCAGAAGTAACAGTGTGAGCAGCATTGAAGAGACAGACTTTCCAGCTAACTCTCCAAGTGAAGACAACCCACCCACAGAAAACATCGCCTTCATGATTACTAAAACAGCTGTCCAGGTCCTCTCAAGCGGGGAAGTTCACGATATAGTCAGCCGAAAAGGTGGAGATGTGCAAACAGTAAACATTGATGTGAGGAAGGACGTGGCGTCAGAGAAGGGTATCCCAGAAAACACAGACAGCGAAGACCCAGTGGTGTGTCTGGACAAAAAACCTGTCATCATCATTTTTGATGAACCGATGGATATTAGGTCAGCTTATAAGCGGCTTTCTACAATTTTTGAGGAATGTGATGAGGAGTTGGAGAAAATGATGACAGAGGAAAAGATAGAAGAGGAAGAGGAGGAGGAAGAAAATGAAGCACATGAGATCTCTGAGAGCCAGAAGGAAGAGGCACCAGTAGTTAATGACAGAAGAGCAATCGCAGAGTATTCAGCAGCTCACAGTCTCAACGAGCAGTACGTATTTAACCTTCAGTCTTCCTGTGACCCTGGAGAAACCAGACCTCCTCCACAGGAGGAAAGCACAAAGACAAATATTAACAAATACCGTCAGATCTATGGGCTAAACACAGAAGCAAACTTGGACTCTGCCAATCAGTTTGGAAGCAGGCAGGATTCTAAGAAAAAATTTAAGTTCAAATTCCCTAAAAAGCAGCTGGCTGCTCTGACGCAGGCAATACGGACAGGAACCAAGACCGGGAAGAAGACCTTGCAGGTTGTGGTCTATGAAGAAGAGGAGGAAGATGGGACCCTGAAGCAGCACAAGGAAGCAAAGAGATTTGAAATCACCAGGTCTCAGCCTGAGGACAGTGACAAAAGTCCTTCTGGGAAGCAAGAGGGACCCCCCGGAGCTGCAGTGTCCCTGTCTAGGACTGACGAAATTCGACAGAGTACATACCGAACGCTAGACAGCCTTGAGCAGACTATAAAGCAGCTGGAAAACACCATCAGTGAAATGAGTCCAAAATCTATCCCTGAAAGCACATACAGCTCTGAGGGAAGCACTGTCCCCTTCTCTGCCCAGATAGTACCAGAGACCCCACCCCGAGAGCTTTTAGTGCTGGATGAGAGCCTTGCTGGCATAGAGCCCCCTCCGTCAATCCCAGCCACTTCACGTAAGGTACCTTAGTCCGAGAAATCAAACCTCCAGCTGCTTTCTAAAATCTGCAATAATCACCATTAAACAAGAGGGTCTTGTGATTTGTTTGCTTCCTTTCAGGTGGCTTGTTTGGGCTCCCCACGAGGTGTCTAACAGCTAATAGACCGTTGGTTTTTTTTTTTTTTTTAATCTTTGCTGCTGATTGGTGATGGGCAAATGCAGGGGAGCTGGGTCGAATAATCCGCTGTGTGAAATGACAAGCGTCACTGACATAAAATCCAGGCTGATCAGTAGCTGAGCAGTTTTCTCCATTTGATTCTGGAAATTAACACCTGCGGTGTGAAGCTCCTGAACTTTCCCTGCATGTAGAACTGTGGCTTCTTTTTTGGCGCATGGTGTGCAGTCTCCTCTTCAAGCACACTGGTACTGATCATGCCTTCTTGTCTCCCTCCCTGCCCCTCCACTCGTTTCCGCAGGGCTCCAGCGCTGCCTCCCAGACAAGCCGGATGCCGGTCCCCATGGCCTCAAAAACTAGACAAGGAAGCATGGAGAAAGCAGGCAAACAGCACAAGCTGCAGGATCCACGCCAATACAGACAGGTAGTTTTACCCTAAACCCAGTGTTTGGATGGACATTTCATGTTGTTTGTTTATTTAAAAACTCCGGTAACTGACTGAGATTATACCAAATAACGGATGCCTGTCTTTCGAGTGAGGTCTAACTGGACGTCTTGGATCCTGGGGGCATGACAGTGTCTACTGATCTTTTCACCATGCTTGTGCATGCATGTCTGCAATAAAACACCTGCTGCTTTTTTTTTGTTTTTTTGTTGGGGTTTTTTTTTTAACTGTGGTATTCAGCTGTCAGCTGAATGATGTCAACTACCTGTTTACTTTCCCTTTGGTAAATGTGGCGGTTCCTTAGGAGAGCTAGGAATGCTTGTGTTCAGAGAGTCTTTACAGGAAGCCTTGGACACTAACCTGTCGGTGTAATAGATGGCAGTAGCTGCACATTAACTCTCTGGCCGGACATGTCTATTCACGTGTTAATAACCCAGGAGCATGGCCAATGTAGTGACTGGTCTGTAATCCATAGATCGCACCTTCTCGCGAAAGCTTTGTTGGCTCTTTCTCTGTCTCTATGCGCTCTTTGTTGGGCACTTTGGGTTTTCTACCAGGTCCAGTCCACAGCTGCAAGACTTAGCTCAGGCCTCGAACTGTTAATTCTTATTGTCCGTAGGGCTATTTTCCCAGGTCCTGTTGGTTTATCATGTTACTGGCTTTCTGACAAACTGTCTCCTGCCATCTTTGTTTGCAGGCTAATGGAAGTGCTAAGAAAGCTGGTGGGGACTATAAGGCTACTTCCCCTACCCTACCTGCTTCTAAGATCCCAGCCTTTTCTCCCACTTCTGGGAAAAGCAGCTCAGCACCTGCTTCTAGCGGTGACAGCTCTAACCCTCTTAATCCACCTACTAAAACCTCCATTCCTTCCTCTAACCTTCTCGGTCCTCAGACAGGTCGCATAACCTACTCTACCTCCCTCATCCCCTCTGTCTCTAACGGCTCCTCCAAGTTTCAGAGCCCCACTTACCCAGGGAAAGGTCACCATCTCTCCTTCTCACTACAGACTCAAAATGGCCGGCCACCCCCTCCTTCCTCCTCTACCTCCCCCCCCTCCTCTACCTCTCCCACTTCACTGAACCAAGGTATGAAGAGCATCAGGACAATCCACACACCTAGCTTCACCAGCTACAAGGCACAGAACGGAAATGCCGGCAAGTCCACCCCATCCACGGCCAAGGAGCCATCCTAAAGGCTAAGCACAGCACGCGCCCAAGTTCACCAAGGCTTTTTGTTCATTTTCAAAGAATCCGCAGCCAATATTTTAACCAGGGAATGTAACCATTTTGCTGTATTGCTGGAGGCTTAATACTAATCACGTGCTAAATACTGAATTACTACACTAGATTAGAGTGAAGCTTTTTTGTAAAACTGTTGCTGTTGTAATGATAAAAGAGCGTTTTCTTCCTTTAGGCAGCACCTCTTACAAAAAAGTGTGAAGGTGTGTGAGTGAACGTGAGTGCGTGTGCACAGCGGTGTACTGAGCATGGGAAAATGTGTGGTTAAAAATTTAGTAAGTTGTTTTGTATAAAGCTATTTTTCATTATGGGGACTCGAAGTGAACAGAGATATACTAAAGTGTGATTATACACAACTGTAAAACTGAAACTAAAATATTTTTCTTTTATTTTGGTGTTATTTAGCTTTGTTACAGATTTCTATTTTTGTCAACAAATGTCATGGTTTCTTTCGAGATCTTTTTGCCAAAACATTTTGATACTATTGTAATGTACATTTGAAAGTAGTATGCTGGACAGTAAACCTCTACACAAGAAACAGAACAAGACTGGTCTAAGTGTGTATGAGGTAACTCAACCTATTGCACTGCCATTCAGATCATATTTAAGAATTTGCCAAGCCAAGGAAGAAAAAAAAAAATTGTTTTACACATATAGGTAGTTGCTGATTACTTTTTTTCTTAGCTAAATCCACCCTTTTCCTTCAGTTTTATTTTACTGAGACCTGGTAACCCATTAATGTATTGCATTGTGGATTTTAAAATGTATACTTCTGTACTGTTCTGTATACTGGCAAACTTTTGTACATATCTATAAATATATATAAATAAATAAATACTGTATGTGGCTGGGCAGCACATAGAGTAGTTTTACCACACCAAAGTTAATTTTTATGCATGCTTAAAAATATATATGGAGAAGGGTTGAAAAAGATGGATATCAGTCAAATAGGAAAAAAAGCAAGAAGCTTGCATAGCTCATGGTTTTGTAAATAAATTTATTTGTATAACACCATAATGTAATATACAGAACTATGATAAGCAAAGATCTTTACAAAAATAAAGGGCTGCATGCTTATATATTTGTATTTTGTCACTAATAACTTTTATAATGGTTTCAATTAGCTGCTAAGCTGTTTGCCTGAGAGCATTAAACCGTCAGGAGAAAAATCGACTTTATTTTCCCCAGATTAAAGCCACACGTAAGTAGTAATTTCAAAATGGGGTCTTTCAAATTTACCTGGACAAAAGCTAATTGCTGGAACTAGCAAGAAAAAAAAAGCACCCAACCTTTGACTGATTGAACAAGGCATCATCTTTTCCACCTTTAAGTAATATTTTTATTCCTCCTTGTGAAACAGGAAGTTTCTGAAAAGTGTCAAAGAGCCCTCAGATGGTGCATCCCTTGCAGTGAGAGTAAATAAAGAATGTAAATGTTAACTCACACCTCACGAGCAGGACACACAGCCCAGTTCCAGCAGCGCTCATGCTGCATGCCATCCCCTCCGCTGGCGTGGCAGGAAAGGCCCCAGGCGCATGCGGAACACAGGAGCATCAGCGTCAGGCTGAGCGCCGAGCCCAGGGCAGGCTGGGGGGCTCCGGAGCCAAGGCGCAATTCAGCGTGCGCACACTGAACCACCGGCGTGAAGCCAGCTCCCTTCCAGCCGGGACAGGAAAGTGGTGGCTCCGAAGCCTGTTCCGGGACCAGCTGATTCCAGTGGGAAGAACCTCTCAAAAAAACTTCTGTCACGCTGCACACTCTGGACCACGCGCTTTCCAAGGGTGCCTTTTACCTCGTCAAGCATTGGGTACATTACTCCCTTGCTCTGAAGGGAACAAGCCTGATTTAATGCCTTATCTTGCTCCTGGGTAGGGCTAGTGCATGCCCCCACACAACAGACAGCAAATACAGAGAGCACCAGGGGGCTGGGTACCGCGCTTCTCCTTTATGGTACACAGCAAGAATACAAGTTCAAGCTAAATGATGGACATACTAGGTTTTGTTCTTAAGCTGTTGGTCTGATATCCCCCCAGGGAGCCAATACTTATTGAAAGATAGTAACTTGTCAATACCTGATCCTCCATGAGAGCAGTCCCCCGTGAGCCATTGTGCAGCCAGGCAGGGTCCCGATGGCAGACCTTGGCCCTCCTCTGCCCCTCAGCGTGCGCCTGGGGGCAGCGGCTCTGGCACTGCTCCAGCTGCTTCTCATGGCCTCTTCGGGCGAGGGGCTACAGCAGCACATTCTCTGTATCTGCCTGAATTTAGATGCTGACAGTAGTTGTATAAATAACCAAGGGTCCTGCACAGTCACTGGGCACGCAGCGGGCAGTAAGGCATAGTACGCCATAGGTAATTATTGCTTGTGGTGGTGAATGTGGAAATTGCCATCAGGGAGTGAACACAACACCCACTTGTGGCCTCAGCTACACTGCGACATACACACCTTCCAGCACCCGCCACGTTTTGTGCACCTCTGTGCCTCACCCTTGGTGCTGGGGTGCAGCACCCGCCAGGAAACCAACCCCAGCCTCAGACAGCACATAACCCACTGCACAGGTACCGCTGCCGGGACCATCAGGAGTCAGGCAGCACCTCTTCCCTCCCCATCCTACACAGCAATGAAGTTGTCGGGCATCCACGAACGCAGGCAGGGAAGTGCTGCAGCTCAGCACCAGGAATGCTTTTGAACACTGGGCAGAGTATTCAGAAAAATCAGCAAGTCTGTAAATAAATCGCTTGAGCACAGAAGGAAACAGCACAGGCTAGTGATTAAAAAGCCAAGTTTCTCACTGCAAATCACTTACGAAAGGCAGTTTTGGTGGAGGCAAGAGAGCCAGTTTTGGTGACTGCAGGCAGTTAGGGACAAGAGCCACTGGGCAGCTACCACTGCAGCAGGAGCTCAGCACTCACAGAGCAGCCCTCAGCCCCCAGCACGTGAGAGGCTGCGCTCCCCCCAGCTAGCTGGTGTTCAAAAAGAGAAAAAACATGCAAAAAAGCAGCCCATCCTCCCTGCTGTCGCCAGGGTGCTCTGGCACACACAATTCCAGGTCAAGCTCTCACCTGCTCTTGGGCAGTTTAAAGATGACAGGGGCTCTTCAGAAAAAAATACCCCGGCAGGGGTACTGCATCTCCAGGGTACCAGACCTGCTAGCAGTTGCATTTGCAGCACATGTCTCTGTGAGCAGCCATGGAGTTTCTTTAGTTTGCAACGATCCCGTGAGTTCAGATGCAATGGGACCCCACTGCTCTGAAAAATCAGAACTGAAGCTGCTCACCACTCCCTTTCGAGGCGGAAGGAGCTGGAAGGTGAGCATGACCTTCCTGCTGCCTGTTGTAGTCTGAGCCAGCCCAGGACTTCCCAGCAAAGTAAGCGCCATCCCTGCATGCCTGCTGACTGTACCTATGGGGACTGCAGCAAAACCAAAGCAACACTGCACCCAGCCCCTGCAATAGGCAGGCCACAGTGGTGGGAAGGCAAAGCAGAAGAGGATGCATAGGGCAGGGAAGAGGAAGGATGTGGACATTTCTGCCTAGAAACGTACAGGGCCAAAATCCATCTGATCCCTGCTAAGAGGCGGCTCTTCCTGCATGCTTAAAAACTCATAGGTTCGATAACAGACAATTAAGGCAGATTTTTACAGTCTCATGACTGTGAGCCACAGGTACATGCACCACTTCAACGATGGCAGGTCTGTTCTAAGTCATTTGCCCTCCCAGCCATGCATCAAACTACACCCTTCTTTCTGCGGGCTGGCACAATTAATTGCTTGATTACTATCTAAATGGGGACAGTGTAATGACCTGGCTTGAAAATCAAGAACACAGCTTTTTATAGCAGATAAGGCCACACTTTACACTCTTAAACAAAGTGGAGATAGATTTTCCTCAGATTGCTGCAGACAGAAGAGCCCCTTACGTGCAGCTCAGCAAAGGATTTTCCTTCAGCTCTGCAGCAGCGTGAAAGAAGTTAAGAAACCGTCTGGACTGTGCCCATGTCTTAATTCCACATTATCAGTGCTGTGAACGATACTAACGGGGACTGTAACAAGCTCTTCAGAGAGGCTTAAAAAGCTGGAAGGTGCTGTATGACTGCTACCAAATCCCAGAAAAAGGATTTCAAACTAAACCACTGATCCCCGCTGAAACAGGAATCGCTGTTTGGAACCATTTTAAAAATTATTACTACCACCACAGTTAATCCTTTGTTACTTCCCCATCAGATCTCAGCTTAGACCTGTTCCTAACGACTTGCAGCTACACAGCTCCAAGCAGTCCTCAGACCAAAAGCACTTTCCAAGCCAGGTTGAATCCTTCTGATGATGACGAGTATAAAAACAAAAAAAAGGCACAAACTGAAATACAAGAAATTCTGCTTAAACAAAAAAAAAAAGCGCCCCTTTTTACTGTAAGTGCGATCAAGCACTGGCCCAGGCTGCCCAGGGAGGTTGTGGAGTCTCCATCCTTGGAGATATTCAAAACCCGACCAGCCCCAGCCCTGGGCAACCTGCTCTGGCTGCGCCTGCCTGAGCCGGGGCAGGGCCGGGCGATCCCCCAAGGTCCCTGCCCATCTCAACGGCTCTGCCACCCCATGG